AGAAGGATGTGGCTGCGTGTTGCAGGTTTCTGACGCTACCATTGCGTCAAAATTGGTCCACAGACCAAGTATGACGGTCATGATGACACACAGACACGCGCCCGTTGACTCAAAAGGTGAGACTGTCTATTAATGAAAAGACTTTTTTTTCTCTCCATGGTTTCCTTTATCTTTATGCTTCGCTAACTAGCAAAGAGGCCGCCGCTATTATGACATAATACAGCGAACATCCCAGGATTCACACAAAACAATGGATTGCAATTGTTTTGTGTGGTGGAGTGAAGCATTCCTTTAGTGTAATTGTTGTTGTGTGTGTGTGTGTGTGTGTGTGTGTGTGTGTGTGTGTGTGTGTGTGTGTGTGTGTGTGTGTGTTAGAGAATGTGTGAGAAGCAACCAGCAGTTTCACAGGGTGTTGTTCAAACACAGTGGAGCGGCCTCGCCCACTGCAAACCGACAGGCCGCGGCAGCATCATCAGCAGTAGCAGCTCTTAATCCCCAGCTCGTCGGGCTGGTCTTTCTCTACGTCTGCCTGGGTGGAGGTTAATGGAACGCTGGGAATTAATTCCGCTCTCTTGTGGTTGTGTGAGAACCAGATCTCAGGGTGTAGGTGTGGACGTGGAAACAAAATGTGGAAGGGCCTGAAGGCTGGCAAGAGGGAGAAAGTTCACCACCCAAACAATCTCGCTATAAATTCTGAAAAATGTAACTTTTCTTTCAGCGGTAGGGTAGAAACACACATCGCGGCATCGCTCCTCCCCACATATTATGTTAACTTTGTCATTTTGAACTGATGGCCTTAAGACCGTCCAGCACTAAGAAAGGACAAAAAACTACCAACATTTGTTACTCCAAATAATATAAAAGCGCCCTTGCTTTACCTTTGGAAAGACCTGCCACGTGGATTTGGCCTTGGTGTCAAATTATAAATGTAACAAATGAATTCCTACGGGTTTATAAGCAACTGTTATGCTGTGAGAGCTACCCGAGGCGGCCTGTGTTGAACCACAAGTTGTTTATTCTCTCCCAGAGCTGAAACAACGGCGCGCGGCTCCTCAAATTCTAAAGGAGACGACGGGGACTTAAAGAAACGCTTTGTTTGCTCACCATGACTCTACTGTGACATGAATTTCTTTCTCTAGAGTGTCATCCAGTACCCCAACAGATTATCCTGACGCCCCTTAGGGGTCGCTGGTGTTTCTGGCCCACAGAATCGCCTGTTAAAGTAACTTCTTTATACTTGTCATTCTTACCTGAAGTGTCCCACATGTTGAGCTCGATCCTCTGTTTGTCGATCTCGAAGCTGGCTGTGTAATTCTCAAACACCGTGGGAATATAATCCTGAAAAGAGACAGAAAGCCCACAGAGGTGATGTGTACAATTCAATTCAATTCAGATGATTGTAAGAATGTGTTGAATAGACGAGGCTAATTGTGAGCTTTAACCTCTTTCCCAAGCTTGTTTATGTAGTCTATTTGGAGGGAAAATATCTACATAAATCGAGAAAGATGCAATCTGCCTAGAGGAAAGCCCCCCATGGGCATGACAGTATCACATTTAGATGACATCAGTTAGAAAGGCGTAAACCACACTAGAATAAATAAATGCATCAGTCAGTTCCCACGTGAGAGGATCTCAGCAGGTTTTGAAGTTTAACTATACATGTGTCCGGCTGCATGGAGACTTTGTCACGCAACTTTGCTGATGTGTTTACCTGCATACCATCTCTTACCTCCGGGTACGAGTTTTTGGCAAAAACATGAAGGAGCGCCGTCTTGCCACACTGCGCATCGCCGACCACCACGATCTTACAGCGCAGTAATCCCTTATTGCTCTCCATGGTGACCCCGAGCAGCGGTAAATTGTTGTAAATGTCTCCTCCGAAGAGAAAAAATAAATTAATAAAATTCAGATCCCCCCCAAAAAACTTCGGCACCGCAGGTGTGATGTACTTTCAGCTACATGCTGCGCGTAATGCTGCGCTCCTCTGCTCCGCGGATCAAGTGAGGCACACCGCCGGCACCTGGCTGCTGTCAGGGAGCGTCTCTAAAGGATGTGTTCCTGTGCGATCTTTCAAAATAAAACCCATTTTATAACCCATGACTGGGTTTCAACATATTGGCTGTTATCAAATTGTTACATTAAACCATTAAAGTGTTGTTATTAAACCAATCGATAGTAGTAGGCTCGGTCTTTTAATTATAATAACCAAATTATTGATGTCTAACAATGGCTAATAACACATGTTTTTAATTGTCAATCATATTTTCTGTGCTTCTATTTTGAAGTCGGAATCGTTGTACTTCCGGTCTTCCCGTCGCTGTCTCTGTTGTCTCAATCACTAACGACGTTCACGTCAATTATCTCAAACAATGAACAGGAGCACACATGAAATGTGGATGTTGTCAATTAACATAGCTGATCATATCTGACACATTAACAACAAACCTTTTTATACAGTTTAGTAAACGCTATTTTATTTTGTGTTAACGGTAGACTGGTCATGTAGGGATATCATACACACTTTGCTTTTTAAGCATGTAATAGTCCCTGTACAGTTGAGAGTTTTTGAAATGCAGTTTTGAATGAATGACACTGGATTAACTTGCACGTGACCCTGTTTAGACTGCATCCTGGTTGATATGAACAACTCATTGTCATTTAAATACAGTACATTATTCACTATATACATCTATATACGTCAGTCTGTAGACAGAGTGTAAGGTGAGTAAAGGCCTTTGGCTCCATCTTCTGGTCAAACTGAAGTAGCCAATTTATTTATAAGTATTAAGTATGTGTTTTTTATTCTGTTGTGTAATTCAACTATCTTTTTCTACATGAAGTTTTATGTTACACTACTACTGTATTTGTATGGATGGTAAAAAATATGAATTTTGTGTTGATAATATTATTTTAATATTCCTGGCAATATTAACAGTTTCTAATATATAGCAACTATTACAGATTGCACATGCAAGAATAATACAATGTTGCGGTAGGACAATGCTAGTTTGCAAAGTCACTATAGTCTCAGATTAGAATATTGCATTAAATAGTATAATATTTTCCCAATGAATGGTCAAGAAGTGGAAAATAAAACGAATCATCCGAAAATGGAAATCTTTCAGTAAAGTACAACTTATTTTCCCTCAATGGTGTATGTTTTGTATGTGCTTGCAGTACTTTTATTGTAGATTCATTGTTTTGCATTAGTTTTTTTAAAGGTTGTTAGAGTTTGCAAGATGTATCAATACATTTACACACTGAAAATACAATGACAGCAAAAAAGTTTCAAATTGTACCTTTTTTAGTATTTTAAACTGAGTTCACACGATTAGCAGGAAAATACAATATATTTGTTGTTATGTCGACAGGTTTTCTAACAATAATGTAGCTGGCAGCGGCTCTATTGTGTAAAACCTCTAATAACAAACAAATGGTCACATGGTGCATTGAAAAGCATATTGAGTGTGACCGAAAATATGTGATTGAAGTGTTTGAGTTTATGTTTGTACCTGAAAGATATGGAAAAACATTTCCCTCATACCATTTAGTTACCCCTAGTAAGTGTGCTAAGTGGGTCGAAGAATGTGGTTGTGTGCAGAGTGTGTGTGGGCAACATGATGCTTATTTGACCTAAATTGCAGATCGATGCGCCTGCCTTTAAATGTTGTTGACAGCATCTTCAGAACCTCGAACAGGAAAGAGTGACGTGTTAAACTGCAACTTTGAACCTTACATGAGGCTTTATATTAATTAAAAAAACGATTTCCTGTCCTTCAAAAACGTCTCATCATCCCTCCACTTCCTGTCTGACACACTCAACCCCCATAACAAGATGAGAAAGCAGCTCCAGTTGCAGGGTGCAGAAGTCTGCAAAGACTGCGTGTGGGCACATGTTAGTTGACGGAAATATGAATTACCTTTTCTAAAGGAAAGGACCTTAGCTATTTCATATATTGCCCAGCTGTCAACCTCAAATAGATTACTTGTTTTCTTTGTTTTGGAACAATAGAGTGTCAGTTTATAAAGGCTTGTGACTCTTATTCTAGCAGTCTACCAGTTCTTCTCTGGTAGGTTAAATAACTAATACATGTCACAAACCTGTTTTGGGAATCAGAGCTCAGATTGTCTCACATGCTTACATACCGACATACATACATACAGAGTTGACTAAAATAAAAATAAAAATCAATTTTTGTTGAATAAGAAATAAAACGAACGGGAGATAATCGTTTGTTTACATGTGTCTTCACTAGATAGTGGTGACATTATTCAATCCCCAAATGTGTTTCCTCCAGCTGTTCCAGCTTAAACGATCCGAGCACTTCCTCGCAGTACTCCAGGTTTTGAAGTTTTTAACGGAATCAAATCCCCCCCAAAACCAGTAGGAGACCAACGGAAGTTGCAAGACCGGGCATTAAAATAAAGGTTTTTCAATTCAGTTTGCATTCAACAACAATAATTTCAAACTACCAGTTTTGAACCAGTTCACAATTGATTGCGGCTCATTCTAAAGTAAGAATAATTAGATGCAATAATACAATAATTATGTCATATTTGACAATGAAGCAAACTATGAAATCCGCTTCATGGCGAATTCAGATGAAAAGGAATTCACTTACTCAGTTTATAAATTGAAATGTGTCATTATTGTTTACAAGCATATAGATCTTCGGGTAGTACCTCATGTCATCGCTCAGACTGATTTTGATGGATAATCAAAATACTGCATTACTTCATTAATAAAATCATACTTTAATTACCAATTTTTCCTTTTATTTAAATTAGTGCTATTTTGGTTCATTTCTCCATTCCACCAGTCAGTGAAACAACTCATCTACTTATAGTAATATGCCAATCATTTCTCTCCAATCTCTTATATGGAACTTATATATTGTTCAACTTTGACCTAATAAACTGTTTGGGGTCAATATAAATTACTTTTAAGTGAAAGGAAGTTTCTTATTGTGAAAATCCAAATCGGAAACCATAATTTCCGTTGACCACTTGTTGAGTTGAGAGCACGCACGGGAAACCCCGCAGTAACAGTCTAATTTCACCGCGGACACAGCTGTCTTAACTGGGGGGCCTATTTTATATCAATTAACCACTTAAATAAGCGGTTCCGCTGCTCCTTGAGTATTTGCTTCACCCCGAGCCTCGACGCCCAAAACCGGCTGAACTCCCGATCCGATCCCAACCGACAGACGTGCGCTCATTATGTCCGGCGAAGCGGCTCCGACTCCACCGCCCGAACAGGAGCAGAAGCCCGACGAACCTCCGCCTCCTCCTCCGGGACCAGCGGTGGAGTCGGCAAGCGGCCCCCCCGCGGCCGAGGAGAAGCCCCTCTCCTGGCGGGCCCTGGTCCTCACGGGCCACGGCGGCTACGACAAAATCAAGCTGCAGGTGAAGACGCGCGCGCGGCAGCCGCCGCCGCTGCGCGAGGGAGAGTTGCTGGTGCGCGTGAAGGCGTGCGGGCTGAACTTCGCGGAGCTCATTGGCAAGCAGGGCCTGTACGAGCTGCTGCCACCTCCGCCCGTCACGCTGGGCATGGAGGGCTCCGGGGTGGTGGAAGCCGTCGGGGACGGAGTGCTGGACAGGAAGGTGAGTGAACGCACTCGAGCACGCATCATGCCGCCGTCGGGCGCCGTCAGCTGGGAGGATGGGGTTTTGGTTTTTAACGCGGGGGTTTTGATGACTGTTTGTAATCTGCTTCTTATTTTCCCTCCTGGCTAAAATAATCTTGTCGTCTTTTTCCATTAAACGCCAAACCAGCTTTTTCATTCATTCATTTAACCCATTTATCTTAAAGTCATGAAGTAATGCAGAGCCTGACAAATGGTGGCCTTTTGCTGACGGAAGCCTTTTGGAAAAATACAGCTGTCATTTCACGGTTTTTTTTTCTGCAAAATGTTTTTAGGACTTGAAAAAATGACATTTATTAATATTCTCTGCATTTAGACTGGGTATTTCATTTCCTCCTTGAGCTACTGATAACGATTGCACAAAAACTGAACCCTCTCATAAACAACTTCTCTTTTATGTAACCTGGTGTATTCAAAGGTCAAACTGTCCTGAAAATCCACATTGTTTAATTTACAGTGTGTCCTTGAGGTGTGTTTACATTCTTCTCCCTGCATTTACCCTCTCCTTGATAAAGAGCTCATTGGGTGTGACGAAAATGAGCAGAATATTGCAGTAACTGCAGAGGCGACTGGTTTGTGCTCATGTTCCGTGTGCCTCGTGCATGCATGTCAGACGCAAAACATATGTTTTGAATGAATAACCAGACTTTTTAGCTGTGTCAAGAGCGGCCTTTTCTGTTTTGTATGTAGATCTCTGCGTTCGGTGACCCCTCCCAGGCTGACCTCTGGGACTAACGCTTTATTTTCTGCGCCTGTGTTGTTGTTGTTGTTTTTTAAACGTTTTACATGATTTCATCCTTCCAATGAATCTGAAGCATGATCGGGTGATCTTGCCAATTATTCAAGAGAAGTGAAACATTCTGGGAGCATTGCGGTTAATCATTGTGTGTCCCCGGTTTGTGCCTCTTGTGTATTCACACCAAACTTAGTTCGCTCCAAGATCTGACTGTAGTAAGGTATAAATTCCCACGTCTAGAAATGACATATGTCCTCGCTCAATTTGGCACGGAGAAGTATTTCACCCAGAGTTGTTTTATGGAAGCACCAGCAAGTCAGGACAGGAGACCATATATAACAGACTCCGTAACCAGTATGAATCGTTAAATGAGATCCTTTATTTGAGGTCCGTCGTTCTTTCAATCAAACTTAAAGAGCCTAATCTGAGGATTCACGTGCTGTTATTCAATTTAACATGCATGGTTTGAATTACCAAAGCTCCACCGTGTCCCTCTGTGTCAGTATGGAATTTCCCCCTTCCCCCCTCCAACTTACTACACGTTTTCCAGCTCTTCTTGCATTCCTCCCCCGTCTCTCTGTTTTCAAGCGCAGGAATCCTATAGGAGGACCGGAGGGCGCGGCCGGCCGCAACTGAGCAGATGTGTTGTGGACAGATTTGTCTCCACGGTTCTGAGCATTGACAGTTATGCCTCATAACCTCCGTAGGTATTTCGGAAAGCTGAGCGGTAATTGGTGGATTATGGCTGCCTTCAAAGAAAAACACACACACACAGCTGTTCAGAAAATGAAATTTGCAGTGTTGTGTGATGAGAGGAAGTGAAAAGTTTTGTAGCATCCAATTAAAATGAACCGCAGGTTTCCACACATTCCTCGCTGTCCCACTTCAAACATCCCTTGAGTTCCCTCAGTTCATGTCGGTGTTCCAGGAAGTGGAACTATTGTGTTTATGTTTTTTAGTCACCCGGTGGCTGTCGGTAAGTGTTTTGTTAGTTCAGAGGTTGATGCCTTTTTATCAACCCCAGAAAAAAGGAAGTCAAAGCTGGAAGTAGGCGCTATTGGAGTTATCGCACTTAAACAGACGTGTGTTTGTTTGTGTGTGTGGGTGTAAATATTTGTGTATGTCTATTGTGATGCGTTTGCGTGCAGCAGGAAGTGGCTGTGGCTCAGAGCTCTTTGGGCATTTTTTAACAGGAAGCAGTGCAGTGTTCACAATCTGCCTTCTTTCCTGAGTCGTCCTTCTTTTATTTTATTCTTTGGCATGTTTTGCAACACCATTTATGCTTTTGTAATCTCAAGTCCCTCTGGAAGAAGGCAGGACCAAAAGCAGGAGCAACATTTTCAACATTTAGTTTAGGAGGCGCTTAATTTGAAGGGTTTTTTTTTTGGTTTTTTTTTCAATGTAAATATCTGTCAATAATCTTTTTTTCTTAATTGTGGGAAGCCTAAATTGTGATTGCAATTAATATTCTATTTGTCATTATACTTTTTGCAGCAAATGGACAGAGCCAGTCTTTTTATTTTCATCTTGTATTTCCCCATAGCTGGTTTTCTATAAATTTCTTACATTTTCTTTCTTTATTTACTCAGGTGGGAGATCGAGTCATCATGTTGGACCGCAGTGGCATGTGGCAGGAAGTTGTTGTTGTGTCCGCCAACCGTACTTTCCCAATGCCCGAGCAGATGAGCTTTGAGGAAGGTGCTGCTATCCCCATAAACTACTTGACCGCCTACATGATGCTCTTTGAGATGGCCAATGTGCGGCCGGGCAAGAGTGTTCTCATCCACATGGCAGCAGGTAGGACACGCACAGGGAATCCCGATAACACAATAAAATTAGTGGGTTCTGAAAATTCATTACTCATTGTAATGAGTATTTCAGAGAGATGCGTAACAAAGAACAGCTTTACTTTGAGAAGAGAAATGCCTTTACTTTTCCAACTTCAGTTTCATTCTTCTCTGCAGGTGGCGTTGGTATCGCTGTCACCCAGCTGTGCCAGACTCTACCAGATGTGACGGTTTTTGGCACAGCATCAGCCAGCAAACATGAGACTATTGCTCAAGGCGGCGTAACTCACCCCATCGACTACCGAACTAAAGACTACGTGGAGGAAATTCGCAAAATCAGCCCCAAAGGTAGTAAAACGCACACCTGCTTGTTGTGGGGTTCAAGCACAAGAAACGCTGAAATTCATTCCTTTCTGACTGTTGGAAAGATAGTTTTATGAAACTTAATATTATGGGTTGTTGATTGAATATTCTGGTGTGTTTTTGTTTCTTGAATAACAACTTGATAAAGTATCAATTATCTTTTTTTTTTTTTTTTTTTTTTTGGTTTCTCCCAATCTATTTAATTTAAATTCTGTGTCTCTGCAGGAGTGGACATCGTCTTTGACCCACTTGGTGGGTCAGACACCCAGAAGGGCTTTAGTTTGTTGAAACCTTTGGGCACACTTATAGTCTTTGGTGAGTCACGTTTGAGACCGTGTGAATGCATTTCTCGAGTCTTCCTAAATGTATTGTCTTTTGCCTTTTTTATCTAATTGCATTTGGGCTGTTTTTTTGTATAATTTTACAAAAATTGTATAGACTTTTGCAAAAGCCACTAAAGTACACCTGCTAGAACTGCACTGTAGGACAATTTTTCAAAACTTTGCTAAAAGGTACTTTGAAGACTTCTAGATTAAAAAAATCATTTAGGATCATAGCTCAGTTTATAAAACTAAAAAGCGAACTATATTACCTTTGTTGCACCATAATGAAGAAGCGCTCAGTACATGCTCTAAACCAGAAGTCACTAAGTGGAGGTCCGCGTTCTGGACCCAGAAGCCGTCCCATCCGAACCAAAGGCTAAAAAATGACTTTTCGACCGGCGCAGCTTTGGTCGTCTTTATGGTAGTGGCTTAAAGCACAGACCAATTACGTTGGAGTTAAGTTGCATTCCAGGCAGGATGATGATATCGGACAGACGAGAGCGGTAGTGGCAAATTACAAATTAAATAGCTAGAACGACGAAAATGAAACAAAGCTCAATTTGAGACAAAGAGGAGTGAGACTGAGCGAGCGAGAGAAAGGGACGGGTGAGAAAAATGAGGAACAAATGTCACTCTCCAAAAAGAGAGAAGTGGACAGCGAAACTAGAGCATTTAATCCATAATGGACGGACTCGTTTCTGTTCATACTTTCCCCTGCAGCTCTAAACCAGAGTCTCATATTGATTACACGCAAATGTTGATACAACTACTCTATTTAATCACACCAAGTAGTCACATTATGATCTTCTGGACCTTTGCTTCTAGACATTTTCTCTTACTGGACTTCTTCAAATTTTAGTTGAATACCCCTGCTCTAAACTATTACCAGCTACAGCTCAGGTGCCAAAACATTCCAGAAGATGTCTATAAATAGATACAAGTTCATCATTGTTTTTTGTTTTTTTCCTTATTCTTTGTGTACACCGTTTTCATTCTAGGTGCAGCCAATTGTGTGACTGGCCAGAAGAAGAACCTGTTTGCCATAGCAAAGACGTGGTACAACCAGCTCTCTCTCAACACACTAAAACTGATGCAGGCCAACAAGTCCGTCGGTGGCTTCCACCTGGGCTACCTCACTGATGAACTAATCGGCAGGGCGATGTTCAAGCTGCTGGAGCTCTACGGGCAGGGAAAGATCAAGCCCCGCATTGACTCATGCTATCACTTCGAGGAGGCAAGTTTGATCACGTTTTGAATCAAAAATGTTAAAGAGGTTTGCATTTTTAAGCGTGGATGATGGGACCTTCGTGGCTGAGGCGAAACGGAATCTCCAGCTTAGAAATGAAAAATTAAACTGAACGATAAATGTGAAAACGATAGCTTAGCTTGGTACGGAGACTAGAAGCAAAGGGAAGCGGCTAGCCTGGCTCTGGCCAAAGATAACACATCAGCATACAATAAGTGCATTAAATCTGGACTTAATGCGTTTATTTGCTACCTTCTGGCTTCGAACCAAATCATCTTAGCTGTGACTTCGTGCCCGAAATGCGGCGCTAACAAACTAATGGTTACTATATTTAGAGTGCGGTCATCTTCTTATCTAAGCCCCGCCAAGGAAATTGATGCGTGTGTTTCTGAATACATTGAACATGTTGTAAGAGGTTTGACTACGAAAGAAGCTCCTCACTTGGATGAGCTCAACGCCTCGCAGGCGTTTTCACTGACTACGATCGGCGAGGTGGAAGCACGTCTCTTAGGAGATCCACTCGAGCTTCTCCTGCGTCAGAGCCTTCTGGTGTTTTTTCCTCGCTTTCATTTACTAAACCTCTATCACGCCCATCAGATGACCCAGTACTTGAGGGCCGTTGCTAGGCGACGGTCTAAATTGTTGCCGTGGATGTCTGTTTCCAGTTTCTCTGGCTGACTTCACGGTTGGACTGGAGTGCGATCCAAAGGGATCTGGCATTTTCGTGTGCTACCAGGAAACTGACAAAAGCGAAGGCAGAAATGATTGATCTGTGGCAGATAGACATGGCGTAGATAGCCCTCGTCTTCATTAATCCGCCTCCCCCATTTTAACTGATTGGCCATTTGCGCGTAGTTTTCCACATCTGTTTGACTCCTGTGTTTCCTGTCAGGTGACTGATGCCATGAGGCGCATGCACGAACGGCAAAACATTGGGAAAGTCATTCTTCTCCCTGAAAGGAAGCCGGAAGACACAAAATCTAATTCCAACGTTGAGCCGGTAGAAAATGGGGAAAAAACGGAAGCTGCCATCGACGAGAAGGAAGAAAAGGCCACAGAGGAAGTTAAAGCAGAGGTTTGAATAAGGATGTTGATGTTTTCAAACACTTCTTGTATGTGTTCTCCTGTTGTTCACTTGTCCTAAAGAGAGGAAAAGCAAGATGCCATGTCTTCTTCTACTTAGTCAGTACTGTATGTCTGCAGTGTAATGATTGTGTTTTAAATTATACTAGTCTGTGGAGGAATAATGTGTTCTGGTAACAGTTGGTTGTTACCAGAAGGGATGTGCCTTCTTCCTGACAACAGATGAGCAACAATTCTGTTTCTTCTTTAATCAACCTCATCAAGTCTGACGAGGTAATTTGAATGAGCTCCAGATATATTGCTGAGTTTTGTTAAGTCCTTTGATCATGTTACAGATTATGAATTTGATAAAGTAACGAGTACTTCCTTTTAGGAATAGTAGTGGCCGTTCAGTCCTTTGTAGTGAATGTTGTTGGACCAAAGTCTTTGTATTACAGTTCAAATTGTTATATTTTTCTATTATATTACAATGTTTGTGCCAAATTCAAAGTCCGCTTTCACCTCAGCCAGCAAGTCAGCTGTGAGTGACGCGGAGGGCCACTCGGGTGGGTTTTCTTCCAAACAGTGTTGAGCTAAAATTGTTGGCAAGCCATTGATTGATTTTGCTGCTTTCTAAACTTATACACAGCCTCTTTAAATGAAAAATATATAAGTGTTTACATAACTGCAGTACTATGTGTTGCTTAGTCATTCCTCTTGTATAAATATAGGGAGTGGGTCATAACAGAAAAAAAAAAATTGCATGTTGTATTTGTGCACGTTGTATTTCTTTGTTTCATATGTGTTCCTTGTGAATGCAGTGAGGGACATCTGGTGGTGAAATTGTGCCTTATAACTAAGTAAAATACTCTACAGTGTTGCTTGCCTGGTTGAATGGAAAACATAATTCTAGTCGCGCCCCGCATTCTTATGAGATTTTGATAATGACCCCATTCAGAGATTCCACCATGCTTCAGTATGCAAATGTTTTTTTGTTTTTTAATACATCTGATTCCGTCTGCTGAGTCTTTTCATTTGGTATGTTGAGCTCCAAAACCATTGTCTCAATAATGGAAGATTGTGTGACTGTATTCATGAGGGGATCAAACAACGCTGCCTTGTATCATTTTCATGCACACACTCCTTTGTTAAATGGAACTAACCTGTCTGTTATTAAAGTACCCTTGCAATATTTCTTCTAAGCTTGAAGATTACTCACTTCTGCATTGATTAAAGTTGACACTCATGATTGTGTATAATTAAGCCAAGAATGCAAACTCCAGGTGTGTTCACATCTGTTTTTTTTGTTTTGTTTTCTTTACCAAAATATTAGTTTCCCAAACTTGGATCATATTGTTTTGGTTGACTAATACTCTTTGACATAAATGCCGACCAGCAGAGGAAAGGTCATTAACTGGGAAAGGTTTGTACACACACTCTCAGCTTCTCCTATTCAATCATCTCCGCTTCGTCTTCCTGTTCCGTCATACAAACCAAACCTTGTGAGGAAGTTTCTATGCCCGTTCCATGGAGGAAAAATACAACCTGATCAAAAGTACATTTGTCATTAAATGTTAGAACTACTAAAGACGTGTGAATTAAGCAAGTGTAGGCGTAAACTGAACGTGGGTGAGCGGGTCAGTGAAGACCAGGGACTTCGCCCGAAACACCTGCAATAATGGTGTGTTTCTGAAGACTGAAATGTTCTGATATAGTGATAAGATTATGATAATTAACAGTAGATGTGTTATCTTGTGTTTACATCACCAACGCATGATACAGCAAAAGAGATGTCCTTTCTTTAACCCTGAGCTGTTTGCAGCAAATTATAGTCTCATACACTTAGCTGCTGCTGCCTGCAAAGAGTTTCTACTACAGTCGAACGGCTGTTTGTCAATGAATTCAGTTAGTAGGGTGTTGTAGTAATTGTCAGCTTGAGTTAAAGTATACTTATAATTACATCATTGGTACTAATAATACTGTGCAATTACTGGACCAAATAAACTAAAGATATGTGATCATGCTTACCAAAATGGACAATTGTAGAAGTGCTAACATCTTTTGAATTGGTTCATAATAATCCATATATCCTCATATGATAGTTACTGATTCAGTCATGTGCCTAGCTCCTTTTAATGTTGCATCTTAAATGTGGATCTGGTTCAACTACACTGTATTGCGGCTTAATCCGTATCGATTTATATGTCGTATTAAACTAAAGCAAGGCACCAATATTGCTAAATAAATGTAGTGGAATAGAAGTAGCCTTTAACGTAGCCTTTCAAGTCCATCCAGCGGACGATATGTAGACGACTCTTCCTTAGAAGAAGCATAAACTAGGCTTTATGGTCCGTTGAAAGGGTAACGCGCTCTGGGGTATTTTACTCTGAAAGGTTACGTCGGAAGTACTTTAGTCACGCACGCTCGTGTGACTTTAAATGGGAATACCCTCTGAGCTGCTGTGGCAGTCTTGCCGCGTCACTGGGATGCGGTCGCCGGAGCCGGGCGTCTAGCCTACCGTATTCGCTCCTATGCCCACCGCCGGTAGGCCTGGTCTTTTTTTCCCCATCATATTCCTTTAGTCTTTTTTTGTCTCCACGTTTGATTTTACTATTTGAATCAGCCTTTTAATCCGTCTTTTCCGTTCGCTCGGACACAGACCCGGTCAGCATAGCGACTCCTGACAGAGCTCTGGAATGACTTTCAGCGGTAACCCTGGAGCAGGCATAGCTGCTCCAGGGTTAAAATTAGATAGCTTACTGAGTAAATATGCTCTATAAATAATGTAGCCGCTTTCCCGCTTTTGCACATGCGTCGCTGCAGCCAGACTGCAGGTTAAAGGACGTTACATCAGTGAGCGTCCGACCAGCTGATCTGTTGTTATTACGCTGTCAGTGAGATGACATTGTCAGAAAATCGGTATGCATGCATCTCGTCATGTCCCTTCAATCTTATTATTTGACATATTAAATACATATAAAATGTCATTTAAATTTTAAAATAAAAAAAACGTTTTGAAAAGCTAACGCCATATTCATATAAAAAGGGGCAATTGCTGCTTTTGGATTGTGCATTAAATTAGATTCAGTCAGATTTTAATGGGAACAAAGTGTAATTTTCTATTAGTGTGAGGTTTTGCTGCATCTTTAGATAATTTTTGTTTACAGGTGGTGCAAGATGCATTTGGACAACTGGCACATTACCTTCTTAGATCATAATCTTAATCATAATTTATCAGTCATATACTTCATAAATGATTATATAATTGTATTGTTTTACTCTAAATACACACGTATGGCATTTGGCAGCATACTAAAGTGCTCTACATTGTGGTAGAATATACCTTTGTCTTATATATTACTCTTTGGCATCAATAGAATACTCACCAAGATACCTTTATGCTATTACTAGTGCTACTCATGAGTCAATAGCATTTAAATGTTGTAGCTTGAGTTCGATACTTTATATAAAGTTCAGTAGTGTACAATGAATCATTTTACAGGACGATCATGATGTATTTTTACATCTTATTTGCTACTGACAGAAGTTGACAAAAAGGGTTTGAATTTAGAAGCCTCTTGACCAGATATTTTAACTGAGCACTAAACATTAATGTATTTAATCTCCTCAGCTTGATGTCCATGAACAAATCATCTAGTTTCGTGGAATTATTTTTCATCAAATACATTTTAAAATGTGATTTTAAGGGAGTATAACCGTCAAATTCTGTGATTATAGTCAGAGGCTATAGCTAGCTGCTGAGCTAACCTTTATCCAGACCTTATCTGGTGTTCCTTTTTCGATTTGCCAACTCTTCAGCTACTGGAACAACAACATTGATTATTCAATCACGAGAAAAAAATCAGTAAATTAGCTTTAGGTCGATTTATCTTGCTATCCTGTGTTAAAGTGACGTCACTACATTTTAAATGCTGACCTCTTTATTTCTATTGCAAATGAACTCACCTACAATACTATTCCTTCATCTTTTCAAACAGAATTTAAAAACGTTTTTCTCCTATGTTTTTTATGTAAGTAGTATAAAAGAGGATTTCACGCCTCACTTGGCTGGTTTAGGGTCACTGCTCTTATTTGTTCCATTTATGGCAAAGGTATGCTGTGATGCTGCAGCTCTCTCTCTCTCCGGTCAAGTTACAACATTCCTACAACAGTGAAAGCCTTCCCCTACAAACCCTTTTATAAATGTATAAACACATGAATATGCAATTTGTCCTGGTCCGAGATCTGTCATGTATTAATAGTTTTAATCCCTTAATCCAAAAGGAATGAGTGATTGTCCGAGTGGAGAATTATGATGAATATAAAACGTGTTGCATATTAGATTCTGCCAGATATCAAACAAAGACGGTCTGCTATCTCCACAAAAGTAATCTAGGGATGTTTCTTTAGCCAATTGCTTTGTCTCCAGGTGCAATTCAACGGCATCGCTGACCCGCAGCGTGCGGAAGAAACATCAACATGTATCAACTCAATTAGGCTGCACGCTGTCGGGTAAACATCTGTTTACAAGTGGAAAGGAAGGGAGTAGAGTAAACAGGATGTTCGTCATTCCGCCAGCAACATTGTATTCTAGTAGCGTGCATTAAGAAAAAGTAAAACGCTCTTTCGAATATGTTGTCCAATTGGCGTCTCCTTTTCTTAGAGAGGGACCACTCGACATTTCCTCCGCGCGGCGAAGATGACGGCTCCGTCCAACCAGACGCACGCGTCGCCGCACGCGTCGCCGCACGCGACGCCGCAGCAGCGCTTCTTGGTGTTGTTCGACTTTGACGAGACGATCATCAACGAGAGCAGCGACGACGCCGTGCTGCGCGCTCTGCCGGGCCAGCGGCTCCCCGAGTGGCTGCGAAACAGCTACCGGGAGGGCCACTACAACGAGCACATGCAGAAGGTCCTGGTCTACATGGCGGAGCAGGGCGTGTCCGAGGACTCCATCCACTCGGCGGTGGAGAAGATCCCCCCCGCGCCCGGCCTGCTCAGCCTCTTCCAGTACCTGCAGGGCCACCGGCAGGAGTTCGAGCTGGCGGTGGTCTCCGACGCCAACATGTACTTCATCGAGAAGTGGCTGGAGGGCGCCGGCGTGCGCCACCTTTTCGCCCAGATTTTCACCAACCCGGCCAGCTTCGACGCCTCCGGCCGCCTGGTGCTGCTGCCCTTCCACTCGCACGCGTGCTCCTGCTGCCCCGACAACATGTGCAAGCAGGTGATCCTGCGGGAGTATCTCGCGGGCCGGCAGAAGGAGCGCGGGGGGGCTCCGTTCCAGAGGGTGTTCTATGTCGGAGACGGGGCCAACGATGTGTGTCCCTCCCTGGCTCTGGGGCCCCGGGACACGGCCTTCCCCAGGAGGGGCTTCCCAATGCACAGGCTTCTGCTGGAGATGTCCCAGGAGGCCGGGCTGAAGGCAAACATAGTTCCTTGGGTTAGCGGCGAAGACATAGTGGACAGCCTGAAGGAAGTAGTGGAGGAAAGATGAGATGTGTGTGTGTGTGTGTGTGTGTGTGTGTGTGTGTGTGTGTGTGTGTGTGTGTGTGTGTGTGTGTGTGTGTGTGTGTGTGTGTGTGTGTGTGTTCCTAATTCAGGAAAATATTTTTCTGATTGGGGAAAAGAAATCTGTTCCCATCTGAAAAAGCAGACTTTTAGGTCATTGTTGAAGGTTGGGGAGAGCGTGAGGTCTCAACGAGTTTTGGTTAGTGTGAGGATGACACTGAAAGGAGGAAAAAGTAAATCCCAAAACGTTATCTAAGTAAATGTGTGCGCGTGGGTTTGTGTGAATGAGAGTGGTAATGATATGGGAAAATATAGCACGACCCCCCAGTCCTGGCAAACCACAACATGCATGATTTTACCCCAACAACACCGATCAATAGAAATTGTGGAGTCAATTATTGTGATGTCCGCCCAATAAATACGTGGCTGATGTCAGCAGGTTGTTAGGTTAGCTTAGCATAAAGTTTGCCAATGGGGGGGGTGGGGGGGGGGGGGGGCACTTGATGTTTGTTCTTGTTACTAGTCTTAATGCTAAGCTAAGACACCCAGCAGTATATTGTCTGTGGACACCACAGCGTGTTATAGGTTTTCTCATTCAACTCGCTGCAAGATGGGAATTGTCATTTAAGGACAAGCGTCACTACTGTACCGTTGATGCTCGCCCCAAATACCTCTTCCCATGCTTTGTAATATACCTACTTTTCAGTATTATAACTTAGTTTCTCATTTGAATGCAAATAAATCAGCTCGCCTGTCGAGATAATCGTGATCAATAAGGGAGATGAGCAAACAACGTTCTGGTTTTTGAGTCTGATCAAAATGCTGCAGGTCAGAGTAGATCTAAACCAAAGTTGTGTCTTGTGAGCTCTGGAGGGAGCGTGATCAAATGCAATGCGCTCCTGGAACACACCGCCTCATTCAACATCTATGGAACTCAGATTACATCAGACTCTCACTGTATCGAACGTTTTCTGAGTCACAGATTGAATCTACTCCACTGTGTGTGGCTCCTCCTGTGTCGACACACGTGTGTTGAGACGGGGGACGAGGACGGCATGGGAGCAGGGATAAGGTGTCTGGAACTCGTGCACTCTACCCGTGCTCACTCATTACTGACACCTAATCTGGGGCTCGATTTATACAACAGTAATCCACACCAGCGTGAGCGATCAGCCACACGCTCGCATACCGTCACGGCCTGTGACACCAATGGAAAATGGGAGCTTAATTAATACAAAGTACCAGTGGAAGATTTCTTCCACTGGTACCCTTTTAAAAATCACAGGGAATATTAGTATTTTTATAAGGTCTGTTTAGATTGAGGAGGATTTGCAGCCTCTGAAAAGCTTCCCTTTATGTTTGAATGTATTTCCCGGTGAACAGCAGCGTTGTGGGTGAGTATCGATTATCCTCTGGGTATATTTGCATACTTAACTCAACGCATAACCTCACTCTGCCTCTCCGGATCCATGACATGGACGTGAAAATATATTTTAAAATAAAAAGCACTTGCAAACATTGAGATGGTTTACAGGGACATGTCAGTTTTGTTTTTAATTCAGGAAGTTGTGAAATGTGTCCTGCACATGAGATGATTTCTGACGCCTGTTTAAGGTTTCATTGCAGGTAACAAGAAGAAAGTTGTGTGCTGATAAAAATACAGGAAGAAAATAGAGGTAATAAACTTGTTAGTTAATTCAAAAACTCCTAGCCTTAAAAACAACAGTATGCTGGAATTAGGGAGTAGAAACCAAACTATTAACAAGCAAACACAATGCTATATGTTTATGTTTCTTTTCTGCTTTAAGAACATTGAGTTTATTCATGATGAAAAAGTATATATGTATATGAGAAATAATGAATGCAGCTGGAGTGTGATCCTGAAACTAAAATATAGTAGTGCTTTGAGAAGTTATTTAAAAAATCTAACAGGGGGCAATCTTATTTACAATAACTGTGTGTATAATTGTAAAACTTCCATGGAGTTTTGTGCAATAATAAAAGGCTGTATTCTTGATATGATGTAAAAGAGATAAACAGGATAAATAACTTTTGACATTTTCAGGGATGTGAATCAACACCAGATCAACAAACCAGTTTATTTCATTTTTTTAATGAAACTTGGCATTATGGCATTGCAACAACCCAATAAAATAATGCGTTGTTGGGATTGCTCGACTAATATGCTACTTTTTATTTATGGAGTTTGCTCTATTCTGTTTGTGTGAGTGTTTGTATATCAATAATCCACGAATGTGTTGTAAAGCATCAGTGTAACCGGAATATGAAGCCATTATCTGATTAAACAACATTTAAACTACTATTTTCCTATGTATTCTATGAAATTAATTTACATGTGTTTCTTTAAATACAAAGATTGAATATAGAGTATATGAGTAAATTAGTCAATTGACAAAAATACAACTTGAAATGACTTTTTCTATATATAAACACAAATAAAATGATTTGGCAATAACTTTCTTTGAATTGAGCAAATTATGCGACATCATCAAAAAACCCGATACGACATATGTTTGCTTTGACAGCAACTTTTTCAAAGGAAAATTATTCATATTAAAACTAAATGTAGAAATGAACAACTACCAGGGCGGGAATTTTGGGAGGGGACAAACTGACAACAAATGGCATCTGCAAATAGATTTAAGTTAATGTTTTTGGGAGGGACAATATCAAGCTGACGTCAAACACATTAGAAAATAATTGTGGAGTGATTTAGTGATAAGAGACAAGGAGAAACAGCCTTGCATGTCCTCTCCAAGTAGGCCGCGGCAGAGACAAAGAGGAAAGGGCCACCCCGGGAACAGGGAGGTTTTCCAAACCCTTTTTTTCAACCCCCCGCCTTTCAGGGGGCAAAAGGAAAAAGGGGAAAAAAAAAGGAAAGGTTTGGGGGGAATTTGTGGGGGGGGCCCCCAAAAAGGGGGGAATTTCCCGGGGGGGGGGGGGGGGGGGGGGGTCAGGGGAAGGATTCACCAGTGTGGAGGGGGGAGAAAAAAAAGGGACAAAACCCCTGAGTTGGGATGAGCCCAGAGAAGAACTTCAGAGAGGGGAGGAACCACCATTTGCCCCCCCCCCCCCCCCCCCCCCCCCCCAGCAAGGCCAGGTCAAGAGCAGCAGTGGATGAGGTATTGAGTCAGTGTTGCAGGATTCACCTCTTCTGACCCCTAGATGGCGCCAAACCGGCATTCCTTCAGTAAATCCACTGATGTGCCTTCAGCAGCTGTACCAGTTTTCAACAATACACGAGCACACCGAGGCTTCCTTCTCCGTAATTTGCATGGGATTCAGTCTATTCTAGGGTCCACTTTGCCTGCCCCCCTGTGCCCTTGTGTCTGCATTTAGCCACTATTTCCCTTACTTCTCCAATTCCCCCCCACGTTCCTCTCTGATTGAGCTAACGTCAGATCAGATATTCCGCAATTCATCTTTGCATCCAATCTCACAGTGTTCTCTCCCACACATCTGGTTCTCTCTTTGTGATTTATTGTGTCACCCACGTCCCTCGGGCGATTGCGTGTCATTGTTGTTGTCTACAAACATATTTTCTGTTGTCAGTCCAGGGCTCCTAATGACAACGTCCCCCGAGAAGAGCTGACTGTACAACAACACTTGTAGGCCACACTTTCGTAGCGTTTCTTTCTCACGTATTGCATTCTTTCACCCCCCCCCCCCCCCCCCCATATGAGCTGCCGGCCCCCCTTTGAAAAAAATTGACTTTTTTTTTGTTGCTTCCCCTAAATTATTTGAGGTCCTGAACTTGAATGTCCAATTGGGCGTCAAAAATATACCTGCTCTATTAGGAAAGCAGTACATGCTGTGTCTATTATGATTAACTTGCCTGTCCGACCCAATTTCCAAGGACCTCCAGCAGTAAGTGACTGCACAGGAAACCCAATTAACATCTGTGGAGAATGATGACAAATCGTATTTGAGGATCTTGAACTCGCCAATGACCTCCTGTTGTACCTCCCCGTCAATATCCACATAGCAGCTGATACGGCCCTTCACTGAACACACTCGATTGTTAAAACACTCTAAATTGGCGGAGCTGTGCGATGATTGCTTTTATTGATACGCCTCAATGATTTTTTGTCCATCCAATTACGCCTTCGGAGGTGAAAGATAACTTCATTAAGGGACTTGAGACTTGTAAAAAGGACACTGTAGGATGTGGACTTCGTGTGCCAAAATCCCATCGGGCTGATCAGGGTCGATCCACTCCTGTGTTTGATTCCTCTGCTGATAGTTTCAGAATAGAACGCCGGGCGACAGTCGAGCTGTTAGCTTGAAGCGGTGGTCCTCTCTGACAGAAGCAGTCGGTTAGCCACAGATGAAGATGGAAAGGAGAGGGAGTGTGAGCGGTGTCCTTGAGACGGAAGGGTCGAGATGAGACTTGAGATTCCTCCTCTTCAGAGCGAACAGTGTATCCTTGACAAGGTTAAACATCCCAAGATAGCCTTCTATTGGGAGGAGTTCTCTTGTATTTGTGAGTTCTCTGCTGTGTGACGTGATAACTACTTTGACCTCGCCATAAGTTCTGTTTTTTTTAGAGCTTTAAAAAGCTCTCACCACAACTCCAGATGACACTATACAGCTGCTGTCACAGGCAGGGCTCTCTACGTTACGAGTAAACTGACCTTTTTGAACATTCTTTTACATACATGACTTGAGACTTCTCTGTCGCTCAACAGCAGCATATAAAACGTTTTGTGATGCAATGAGGAACAATGATTGCACGAATCAGGAATCAGGAAACAATTATTGCCAAAATATGTCATACATACAAGGAACTTGACTTGGCGGTTGGTGCGTGACAGTAGACAGTGTAACAATAGACAACAAGACGGTGTTAGGTTTAGTAGAAGGTTCGGACCCCAAAGCAGACAAGGAGAGGTTAGTGGTTGGATATGTGGACAAAAGTTTATTGGCTGGCGAGGATCCTGGCAACGGGGAGGACGAAGAGCCGGGCGGTGATGCACACGAGCGTTCGTCGTTGACGGAATAATCTGCCGTCGACGTGATGAGACGCCCAGGTTTAAATGGAGGAGGATAATTGGATGCAGGTGTGTCTCGTCCAGTCCAGTTGCCGCCAACAGCCAGCCACACCCCCTGCCGCACACAAACACAGGAGAACACAGCCAAAACCCAAACAAACAGAAACACAATCACCACAGACGGCAGTGCACAAGTAATACAATAAAATAAAAGGAAATGCTAATGCCATGGGTTAGTATAATAAGGCTACGGGTTAGTTTAAAATAAGAGAATAAAGTTAAAGTTAAAAATTAAAAATATTTTAAAAGTTACATTTTTTAAAAAGAAATTAAAAAATAAAGTGCACTAAAGAACAAGTGATCTTTATCTGTATGAACATACAAAATGCGTGAATACTTAATACTTAAAGAGCACGTGGTCCCATATTTCTTATTCATTATCCCGAATAAAGTAAAGACATTTATACATTTCCAAAAATGACAATAAAGCGAGCTGTCTTATGTTGCCCTGACTTCTCTCTCTCTCTCTGTCTCTTTCTCACACACACGCGCGCGCGCGCGCACACACCGCGCGCCCCCCACCCCCTCCTCCATGACATGCGCGAGCCCATTTGTCTTCCTCTGCTCATACAATCAGGCTCTCTCTCTCTCTGCAGACGAGCCTCCGGGACCGCAACAGAAAAAAAGAAACAGTCAACGCTCACTCAAATCGGTCAAATCTTCTCTCATTTAAATGTCGGGAGAGCGAGTTTTTTTTTCTTTCCCCCCAAGTCGCTCAGCGATGAAGATTTAATTGATTTGAAGTTCAAATCGGCGAACGGGCGCGCGAGGAGGTGAGGATTCTGCGCTCTTATCGTCAGTTCGCGAGAGTATTTCAGAGGAATGATCACCTTAAAGAGTAAGATCGAGGGAGAACCAGTGACATTTGTCTTATTTCCCAGCGTGACGTGATTAAAAGTGAACTTAAAGCGAGTTGAGGTGATAACGTGACCTTACTGGTTTTCTATTATCACTCATTAGCATGTTAGCTTGCTTAACGAACAGTTACTTTGTTGACTTTGTTTATAATGATTATAATTACGTGGCAAGTCTGCTTGATAATTATTGATTTACAGTAAAAAAAAAAAACTTCTCAAGGGTCAGTCCGTATGTTAAACTTAACGTTGGTTACCTGCTTTCGTTTCAAAAAGAACGCGTTTTTCCTGTATAACGTGTCAGAAAAAAAGTTGGGGAACCCAAATGGAATATATGACAGCAGGAATCAGGAAACATTTATTTGCCAAGATATGCTAAACATACAAGGAATTTGTCTTGGCGGTTAGTGTGCGACAGTAGACAGACAATAGTGCACAAGTAATAAAATTAAGTAAAATGAAATGCTAATGCAATGGGTTAGTAGAATAAGGCTATGCGTTAGTATAAAACAAGGGAATAAAGTTAAAATTTTTAAATATTGAAAAAGTTAAAAGGAAAAATATTAAGCATAAAGTGCACTAACAAACAAGTAACAGACAAGTGACGAGTGACGACAAAGTGATGAATTGCAGTTAAAGTGGCATGTGCAGTGTGAAGGGGAGTGACCGGTGGAGTGTTATAGTCAGTCAGTGGGGGACCGGCTCTGTTGATGAGCCCGACTGCCGGCGGGAAGAAACTGTTCGTGTGGCGGGAGGTCTTAGTCCTGATGGACCTCAGCCTCCTGCCAGATGGAAGGGGCACAAACAGTTTTTGTCCGGGGTGAGAGGGGTCGGCCACGATCTTTTTAGCACGCTTCAGAGACCTGGAAGCGACAGCTCAACATGTGCTTTCGCTTCTCTTCCTTTTGTAGTCAGTAGACAGTTAGTCTATTTAAATCCATCGATAACGTAGCAAAGAAGGCATCACAATGAAACATATTTTACCTACTTTTTATTGTCGCCGCACTTGGCCTGCTATTGATCACCACCCGATTTCATTTTCCCCCCTTTTTTCATTTGCACCTAAAGCTCCATATGCAAAGTCCAGTTTTTTGGGGGCATCTCGATGGCCGAGGGAACCAAAGAGTACACAACCGTTTTCTAGTTTTTAAAATGTGTCTAATTAAGTAAAAATCACCCCACAAAATATAGCTTAAAAACAAAACAAAGTGTAATGTCAGCAAAATACACTTTTAAGAGCAAGTTGAGTGTTTCATACTCAAAGGATTTAGGATAAAACATCGCTTTAACTGCTTTTAAGGGGAGCCACAAAGCGTCGAGTTCACAGCTTGAAGCCCTCTTAGATAGGCACGCACAAGACTGGCTGCTCCTCAAAGTAACACTCCTCAAATGGTTCTTTTAATGGCGCTGTAGGATACTGGAGGCTTTTGGTCTGGGGCTGGTTGACATCTGGGGAGACTGCAACGTAACAACTTCAGACATCCAATGTGGCAACTTGGACTGCGGAGACGAGGCGCACGGCTCCACGTTGAAGCTTTAAAGTCCCCTTTCCACATAGCCGGACAAACCTGTCCGAAATGGAATATATAAAGCTTAAATATATAACACTTTACCTCGCCGATCGTCGTTAAACATTGAGTAAAATACCGGACTTTGTGGCCTGTGTTTACATTTGCTTTCCTCTGTATTCCTGTGCACAGACATGATTTAGCAATTTAAAGTATTCCTTCCTTTTAGTCTTTGCCATCCACGAGACTCGTGTTTGGGTGATGGTGTTTGTGCTACTGGCCCTCCAAATAGTACATTACACAACATGGACAGATGTGCGTTTTTTGAGGGCATGTGACTCTTAATGAGATAGTCAGGACCTTTTTCTTTACAGGGTGAGGCATAAGGAAGCATGTTAACAGCAGCTGGACTTGGTTTCATATGAATGTCTTTGTTTCTCTCTCTTTTTAAATAGAATGTCACACTGACTCAATGTGACAGTGTGTCAGTTGGCCTGTAGTAAATGATTTGTCAGTGAGAGACATTTTCAGTGGTATGGCATCGATTAAAGTGTGGCGACGCGATATATTCACTGGTAAAATGTAATTTACTAAGTTATTAAGTTCAGAGAGCAACTAACAGCTTTTTGCAATGTCAATTATCAGTTTCATTAATCAAAGTAATTGTTTCATATTTTTTTAGACTTATTGTTTCAGTCATAAATCTAATCCCACGTTACGGTTTTAGTAGGCGGTCAGGCACACCAATGGAATTAGCAATTACCAAAAATAGATGATTGATTCAAATCCTAAACATCTGAAATAAATCTAATATGTATTGCCATATTAACAGGTAATAACTTAATCGACTTCCTCACGGAACAACGTAAAGGCTCTTTTTTAATAACTGGACCTCAGTCTGCGCTACAGTCTGCTGTAACATGCTGACAAAGTTCTCTGTCACACACACACACACACACACACACACATCACATGCAAATACAAGTCTGGACCTTCTACATTCCCTTTCACAAGTGGAAATGTAGAAGTTCAGCATTTCTGCTGCGTACATTTTTGACAGATGGGCGCCTGCAGGTTAAACAGAGGTGTTGAGTTCAGTACTAAAGGTGGAACAAAACGGAGAGAAGGAAGAACACTTAGCTTATGCTTAGACACTGGGATTGGTTCATAGCGATAAACGTGTTGTGGTTGTGTAGGAAAGGACCTAATAATAATGTAATAAGATAAAGTACTCAGCAGGAGAGTGTGTGTTGTCATCATTTACATAATTAAAATCTGTCTATTCATTTTGTGTTTGGGGTAAATGAAGAATTGAGAGACACAAAAAGACGACTTGATTAATACTATTCTACATTTTTCTTTCCACGTAGAAATGATTATTTTCTGTAAATGGCAAAACAAATACTCTAAGAAGTTCCAAATGAATTATACGTATTAACGCGGGTTTCGTCGTGTTTCTTCTCTCCGCAGGGAAGTAACAGGACGTCTATGTCACCTCTCGCTGTAGTTTCCCTGCAGCTACAATGAGTTGGAGTTTCCTGACTCGCCTGCTGGAGGAAATCCACAACCACTCCACGTTCGTGGGCAAGATCTGGCTCACCGTCCTCATCGTGTTCCGCATCGTGCTGACGGCCGTGGGAGGCGAGTCCATCTACTCTGATGAGCAGAGCAAGTTCGTCTGCAACACGGGCCAGCCGGGCTGTGAGAACGTCTGCTACGACGCCTTCGCGCCGCTCTCGCACGTCCGCTTCTGGGTTTTCCAAATCATTCTGTTGACCACCCCCTCGCTCTTGTACCTGGGCTACGCCGTCAACAAGATCGCTCGGGCAGATGAGCGGACCGGCTGCGGGGAGAGGAGGCCCGGGAAGCCGTATCTGGCGGGCAGAAGGCAGCACCGCGGCGTCGAGGAGGCGGAGGATGACCAAGAAGAAGACCCGATGATTTCCGAAACGGCGGAGGGGGAGGGCGATGGCGACGGACCGGTGAAAGGACGCAGCGATCCGACAAAGGTCCCGGTGCGCCACGACGGCCGCCAGCGCATCCAGGAGGACGGACTGATGCGCATATATGTCCTTCAGCTCTTGATCCGCGCCGCGCTGGAGGTGGCTTTCCTGTTCGGACAGTATGCCTTGTACGGCTTCGCTGTGCCCCACACCTACGTGTGCTCGGCCCAGCCCTGCCCCCACAGCGTGGACTGCTTTGTGTCGAGGCCCACTGAGAAAACCATCTTCCTCATCATCATGTACACGGTCTCCCTGCTCTGCCTGGCGCTCAACATATGGGAGGTGCTTCACCTCGGCATCGGCACCATCTGCGAGATTGTGCGCTCGCGCCAGGTGCAGCACCCCGACGACGAGCAGCGTGGGCTGATGGGGGCACAGGTAGCTCCTCATGAGGAAAGGCTGGGGGCAGATGATTACAGGCACTACTCTTTTTCTCGGAATGCCCCATCGGCCCACCCGGGTACAACGCCGCCATCGAGCCTCTTCTGGTTACGACAAAGCACCGCGACAAGCCGCTACCCAACTCTGACATCAGCGACACCAAGACAGCGTCCCGGCAGAACCACGTGAACGTTGCCAAGGAGGAGAGTCTGCAGCGCGGCAGCGACGGTGAGAGCCTGTTCACAGCGGGGATGGGAGACGCCTCCAGATGTGTTCACAAGGACGCCCGTCAGCCGCAGAACAAGCTGGAGGCTGACAATCCGGCCGCCGGCCGGCCACAGAGCCACGGCAAGTCTCACCGTGAGCGCAAACACCGGCAGGCCTCCAAACAGTCCTCCAAACAGTCCAGCAGGGCGGACACTAACAGAGGCAGTAGCAGCGATTGTGAAGTCATAAAGGGTTCTGGGTGGTTCTGAGATGCAGGTTGTGACTTTTGGTGTTTTTTAAAGCAACGCAAAGCCTTCTCAGACTAAGACGTAGTCGCGTTTTCGTGTCCGTACTGTGTTTGAATGATGGACACGGCGCCCAGTTTACATTCCTCTCAGCAGTAAGATGTTGGTGCTGTCTTTGAGTCCCTGTGAATACGCAGAGGTCGTCCATGCTGTGAACCAAAGTGCCTTACTTACTTAAGTGCTGCTTCCTTTTGGCTCCACGTCACTTTAACTCTCACAAAAAAATCTCATCATTACCGCCGAAAACACATCATCGTGATCGAGTGAGAGCCGAAGCCAAAGCAGTTCAGTGGAAGTGTTTACCTAAATATAATGACCTAGATTTGTTATTCAGACTGTTGTCAGTGTCTTATTGCCATGTTCTTATACTTTTATATATTTCCCTGTTTGTTTGAAGTTCTTGCTATGAAGCCTCTCTGCACCATTGGTGCATTTTGTTTATGATATTGACATGAAGAAATAACCGGTGCATCTGGTGTGTTCTACGCTTTGTCTTCACTACATTACTGTAATTGGTTGCAGGTTTTCAAATTGAAATGTTATTATGGCTAGTTTCTTGCACTGTGCCAGTGTTTTTGTGAAAAATATTTTTACTAACAAAAAGAACATGTTCTGAATAAAGAGTTAGTGTTTGTTATGTTTTTTGCAACTGACATTTTACAATTATTATGGCATGACAGTATAAAACAAGTATTGTAAGTATAAACCATCCAATGGGTTGAATGTTGAATTTTAGTCTTTAGGAGATTGAGACACATCGCCCCCTGCTGGGCAGAAAGAGTTAACACTTGACAACCATCTTCCCCTTGGATGATAATATAGATGTATCTCTTTAAGTGTAAAGCACGTTTCGTTCATTAACCTTCTGCGTGTACCAGAGAGATGTCAGAAAAAAGTCGGAATAACGGATCTTAATGGTACACAGCTAGTACTCGGCTACTTTCATTTCCTGTAGATTGCACCAGTTCCTCCTTCAAGTTTATTATTCATAAATTCGTGGTTTTCTCTCCATCTACAAACTGCAAAAGCATCGATGAATGAGGTTATCAGAAATAATTTCCAAAAAACTATTGGTGTCACTTCTACATGTCCAAGGGGCAGAAGGGGGGAAGCAGAGTTCATTGCGTCACTACGTCGTCTCTGCGGCGTTAAGGGAACGGTTAGGATGCTACGTAAAACTCAGAACTCTATTGGATTGGCGTATTTGATCAAAATATGTCATATGTCAGTGTACTGTACACTGAATAAATATTTAAAACTTAGTGCCAACTAAACTGTTACATTTAGCTGTTTTTTTGTTTTTCTTACAGATGCTGATTATTTAATTATTTATTATCATATAGATGTTATTTAGTGGATGTATATTCCCATCAATATGAAAAAAATATATACTTGGGGGGACTAGTTCCTGCCTGCTTATCCGATTGGTTTTCAATGTTATTCAACAACATTGCGTTATTACAAACGCCCACTCATTTTATTCACCAAAAGGAATGATGAGGTATCGGTGACGTTTACTACTGAGAAGACTGAGGCCAGTTTCTTATTGCGGAAGGTCTCCCGGATGTGACGTAGACTTCACGCTCGCGTCCCTCCGCCAGTGTTTTTAAAAAAGCGGCGGTTGCACCTCGACCACTTTTTGGTGAATAAGTAACATTTATTTCTTTCCTGCAGTTGTCCAGAGCAGTGTTACAACGTAAGTTGGTTATATTTATTTCTTTTTGCCCCGACGATGACGAAATTTTGATCTCATTCCAAACGTTTTCGAGGCCCCGGCGTTGTTTATATTGACGGAAGCTATGCTAGCTATAGTCACTTAAAGCTAACGAAGTTAATTTAGTTACAGCTACATTTGCTAACTAGCTTGGAAGATGACTAACGCTATGTTAATGTATTTTGTAAGTTGCGCTTTTGTAGTGGACAAACTACATGCTTTATCTACGGGATGTTTTAGAATTGTAAGTGATTTCAATGAGACAACGGTCTCAAGAGTAATAAAAGACCTCCTACATGATCACTCACGTTAGTCACGTGAAAGTCAAGATAAGATAAAATAATATGTTAATAAGATTAACCACTATATAGAAATACAATGAGACGCTGATAGTTGGCATAATTTGTGCAAAATGCATACGAAATTAGAGTTGTCATTGTAAAAAAAAAAAAAGCATTGACCTGATGAGAATCCCAAAGCAAAAATTTAAAAAATCATTCAGGTGGCTTTTAAAGATGCTTTTAAAATCCTGCTCAAGTTCCCCACATGGTTGAGTGGAGGTCATGTGTTTGGGACTCGTACTGTTCCCACGTATCATGTTGTGTTGAATTGTATTTACAAATTCAAATGTTGATTAAATTATTCAAAATAGTTAACTGTAAAAGCTGTAACTGATCCATCACAGAGTAATACTCTATTCTTTGAACACAACAACTGATCGAATATTAAATGGTAAAATGGATGTTTATATATGCAGTTTCTCCAAAGAGATGCTTTTTATTGGCGCTCGGACAAATGTGTATGCAGAATAATGACCTTTTAATCAACACATGCTTTGCTTTCTTTTTCTAAGCGGGATACTGGTTTTCTTTACAGTTGCAAGGCCTTTTACTGCGCCGGGATCATGCAGCACCAGCAGTATGCCGAGGAGCGAGGCCTTCTGGGGGCTCTCTGTCCTGGGGAGAAGAAGCTGGAGGGGAAAACGTTCTACTTGGACAGCCTAAAGAAACGCTCAACAGCCCTTCTTTTGGAGGCTGTATCTCTTCTGGGAGGGGTAAGCACGTATCATATCCCGTGAGCAATGGTTGTGTTGTATTTATACAATAATGGTTGACAGGGCTCGCTCTAGACCGTAATATTTAAAATGTAAACTACCATCCAAGAGTTTGGCTGTGCCAATCACAAAATGTTCTCATTGATTCTGTACACAAACAATTAATCAATGTATCTAGAAAGTAATCTTCATATTAATTGATAATAAAATCGATAGTTGCAGCACTAGTACACAGCATTCTTGTAAATGCGTTCATGAAACAAAAAATGTGACAATTGTTGCTCTCTGAGCACGTTTACATTGTGTTCTTTAATAAAACGCTACACCGTTGCTATTGTCTCATTCTGAAGAGGGTCGAGAGTTTCCTGCACAAGGACGTGTGCTTTATCGTGACTGGAAGCCGAGAGGCCCCAAAGGAGCAGAAGCGTACGGATACTAAAGCAGAGAGAAAAGGGACGAGTGAAGAAGCCCAACGTCCCATAATGCAGCGAGAGAGCGTCCTCAGCAGTGACAAGCGGCGACCAGCAATTCCTAGACCAACGGTACTAAGCTTCACCCGTGCATCTCTTTAAACGTTTTACAGGTTTTGGGTACTTATGAATACATATAGAATATATTTCAACCTGATAATTGGCTAAATAATATTATTATATAATATTAGTGTTACTAGTGTAATTTTGAAACATTTATATAAAAAATGATGACATTACTACATGTTACCAGTTAAAACAATTACCTTTTTTTTAAACATTGTGGCTTTCTATTGATGTTTTTTTCATAACAACATGGGTTGGACAATATCCCACGAGATGTGTTGTAAGCTATAAGGAAATCTGTGAATCTGTGTTTTTCTCTTCAGCCTTGTGGCAGCCGTGGGAAGGCCCTGCTCGAAAAAGCCATTCGCAACAATGTGAGTGTCGGTGCAGCAGTGATATTGTTTAGTGAATATAGGTTATAATCTGACGACCGACTTGGTTTATTATCTTTTATTGTAGGAACGACTGCAGGGGACGAGCGTTTTGGACAACGCACGCTCATGGGGAGTGAAGATTTTGTATGTGGATGGTATCCTTTTGACATAACGTGATTTGATGCAAACTTTGATCTGGTTTATGTTTGTTCACAAACCATGATTTGGCGAGCGTTTCCACCGCCAACAGTATCCTTACTTGATAGGCGTGGTGTATTCCAGAAAGTAGTGATAACGTCACTTGATAGACGTGGTATATGGCGGAAAGTAGATTGTAGTTTAAAAATGGCGCCTCGTGTGTTGTCTTTCCCCTTGCGGCACGCGCAAACGACTACACTCTTTCAACCAATCAACGTTCTGCAGTGAGTCTAGCTCCACACTTTAGTACCAAACAACTGTGCCAGGTACCCCAACGGAAGGGTACCCAAAAAGTGGTACGGTACGGTTTGGATTTTTGGTACCATTCTCAACTTTTGGCAGTGGAGACACAAATAAAAGGGTACCAACTGACCCGTACCGTACCGCTCGGTGGAAACGCGCCATTTGTAACGCAGTGGCCCTCTGCTCACAGCAGAGGGCACCATACCAGCGCTTATGTTTGTTCTGTGCTTTTGGGGTCTGGTGATACCAGCTGAAGAAGCCTGCTGTTGATCATCATAGAAATGTCACATTCTTGAATTCCGAAAGTTTTTATTCTTCCTTAATGTTGTATCAGACGTCCTTTTGTATTTGAAGCAGTTGACTCGACAGAGCGTTTGTGGTGTACTCAAGAGGCCGGAGGTAAGATGTTTGTGTTTTTCTCTTTGCTTCATCAGACATCTCTGAAAAGATAGTTTGAATTAATAAACTGATGAACAATGTTAGAATGTACATGCAAGGATGTGTGACAGCCTTCCCACTTTATTATTGGATCTTCATTGAATTCTTTCTGTTTTAATGCAGAAGACATCTTCCAAACAGCAAGGCTTTCATGTTGTCAAAGGTTAGTTTCGGCATACGCTATTGTGTTTATTTCCCAACATCACTGTATTTCTGTGAGTGCAAGTGGTTATTTGATTTGGTTTTTCTGTTCCCTTGATTCACAGCTGCAGCGTTGAGGTCCCCCTTTCTTAAAATTGAAGACATAAGCAGGTGACTTTCATCCCTCAGTCGCAGCAGTTTTTTGTTTGTTTGTTTATTTTCACTCTAGCAGGGGTAAGATATAATTCCAAATATCATCGTGCACTTGGGAAACTGTCTGTTCTGCACTCTCAGAAATCCCGCCAAGTCCATAGGGAAATATTTGGCTCTTAAGCCGCTAAATGCCTCAGTGTGCTCGCCGTCTATTCCCTGTCTGTTGGCTGTTTAGTGCTGACCAGGTACAGTGGCTTTGTAGAGCTTTTCTTGTTGCTATCAGAACAGTGAGAGTGAACAAAAACCAGTACATTAGCATTTCAAACCGCTAAACATCGGCTGAAAGTTGCTATCAAAGGAAACGTCCTCACTCGGGTGATAATCCTCTGCATATTCATTACCACAAAAAAACCATGTCTGGATTGTTATTAGTGTAAAACACTAGTTCTAGCTGTGTTTTTCTTCCAAAATTAATTGAAATGTATCTTTCGGCCTGCACAGGTTCATTTAATAGATGTTTAGTTTCAGATTAGACCTATTTTTTTATTGCTTTTTAAGCAAACCGACTGTAAAACGAGTCGCAGTGACCTGTCCCTGTGTCCTTGCTTTCCTTTACCCCACTGGGTGCTAGACGTGGAGGTTTACATTTCAGCCCAGATTATTTTCTTAATTGAGGAGCCGTCGTGTAATGTGACAAGTCCTCCCCAGTGATGCTGCTCCCCAAGAGCCCAGAACTCAAGCGGATCCAATTTCTATTCGATGAAGCTTTGCAAGCTCCGCTGCCTGTTGCTGCAGGGGATCTCTATGTGCTAACAGGTCTTTTCATTTGCCCTCTCATTTCGGTTAATTGAAGTGCTCTGGCAAATGTGTGTAGGCCATTGCTGTGAGTGAACCCATGACCTCTGAAACGCTCATTCAGTTTTGCCAAGTGGATTGAAATCTTCTAAATGAGAAAATAAGATGATGAATGATAATTTATTCGATTTAAATGTTGTGTATTCAATCATTTTGTTTTGTTTCTCACCAGGAAATACAGACCCTTGCATTTGCAATCTATGATCTTCCCCACTCTGTGGTACTCTGGACGATTTAGTCCCTTTGAATCTCCCCCGCCTCTGTTTGAAAAGCAAGACGAGAGTAAAACAAGGTTTGTGTAACTTGTCTAACCATCATTTGAGGGATGTTGAGTGTTTTTTTTCTTCTTATTTTGACAAAACGTGTTTAAAAAAAAGGATTGAGAATTTATCGTAAATGTTATTCATTCTTTGCAAATTAGGGAGAAGAAAAAAGTTGAAAGCAGCCTTCAGGACAAATCTCCAACGACACTCTGCTGTGACCCTTCACCTTTGAGGCCACGCAAAAAAGAAGTGTCTTTCTGCGAATGCTGCCACCAACCCTTCACTCGTCTGGAGGAGGTGCAAAATCTTTTTGGCTTTTTGTCGGCACACAACAGTTTTTAATGGCGATCATTGTTTGGCTCAGATTTACATCTGTGACTGTTTGTCTCTGTTGGGCCTCGCAGCACCTGCAGTCTGATCAGCACCGGGCTTTTGTTCTGGACGCCTCAAACTACAGCGTGCTGGACGACCTCGTGGCCGAGATGCTCCCGTGCTTTGCCCCCCATTCGGCTCAACCGCCGGATGAAACCCTGTACCGGTGAGTTTCAGTCATTCCATAGAAATGTCCTCGTCATGTGACTCTTAATCGTAATCTTCTCTCTCACTGCACCACAATTTGCGTCGTGTTGATTTCCTTTGTCTTCTGTGTTCCGTCCCCTAGACGGCCGACTCCTCTGCCCGTCTGTGAGCTGGAGCCGCTCACTGATGCCGAGGCGGAGCATGCGGTTCGGGCTCTGAGGGGACGAGGTTCGTCGTTCCACAGTCACCCCTCCAGTCCCGCAAAGGGTCCTCGCTCATCTCCCGAAGTCAGTTTCCCCATCGCAGATTCGCCGCCCACCCAACCCGCTGACCTGCAGCCTTTCAGCGACCTCCATCCCCGCACCTCAAGTCCAGTCATGCCCGTTCTGCATATTGAACCACAAGCTCACAGCTCGGCCAGCCTCTGCCCGTCCGCAGACCCGTACTCCCTGCCGCCGGTCCTCAGCCCACAGGTGCCTTACACCTCCTGCATTATGGAGCCGCACTGCCCGTACTCTGAGCCCCCCGTCCTCAGTCCTCAGCAGTGCACCGCAGAGGAGGCTGTGCGAATACACGCGTGTGAAATGGACCCCGGGGAAAGCGTGTCTCGGTGTGTCCCTGTTCATTTCTCCACAACGCGCGTTTCCTCTGTGGCTTTGACATATTCAGAAGGAGTACGGGGATCAGACCAAGGAAGTGCGTTGGGACTGGGTGAGAACATGTGCTCCCCCGGTGGTTTGGCGTGCGCTACGAAGTTGTCGCGACGGTCTCGGTCCCTCCCCCGACAGACGGCGGCGACGCCAAACACCAAAAAGCGCTGCAGGTCAGCCAGTCCGGAAGAAAGCCGCAGCAAAAGGAGGAGGTTTACAGCGGAGTTTGGTTACAGAGGCAGCTGGATTGAACAGGGGCTTACACCTGCCGAACCACAAAGTGACCTGGCAAAACATGAGGGCTGTTTATTATTTGACAAAGTGTCTTGTCAAATAAAGGAGTCCAGTCCTAAACCAAAGGTCTCCTCCACGTGCACTGTGAAAACACTTGATTCGCAACCGACTTTTACCATGTTTTTTGTTCCTACGGGACAGAGTTTCACTGAGGCGTCGCGTCAAACGGGCCTTTTAGGTCCCGGTTGGACTTCAGTCGCCGATCGTCCATCTAAGCCACTGTCCTCAGGAGCAAAGACTTCTCCCCCTCTACAGTTCCTCAGGGACGGACCTCCGAGTGCCTTTTCAAGTCAAGACTCTCAACACCTCTCGGCACCGTCCCACTCCACCTCAGTGTGCATCGAGTCGGCCCTCATCCCAGACCTGGGCTCGCTCCCCTTGTCGTCGTCGGACTCGGACTGGGACTGTGGCCTCCTCTCGCGCCTCGGAGCCTCCCGCGGGCCTCCGCCGCCCCCCGCCGAGCAGAGCCGCGAGCTCAACAAGGATCTCCTCCGCAGGCCGTGCGCCTGGATGCGCGACAGCAGCTACGAGTCGCGGCTGCACACCGTCCTTCAGCCGTCGCCCCCGGCAACCTCACTGTGCGGGGAGGAAGGGGACACTTCGGCGTTTTCCAGGACTGTTGTGCAAATCGTGGAGGTTCAGCACTGATGGTCGTTGCCTCTCGGGGGAAAGGAAAGAACCCGCAAGCTGTCGGATGCTTAAGCTCATCAGAACAAATCACAATTCAATTCACTGAATAAATATGTAAAACTCAGTGCCAACCAAACTGTTACATTTAGCTGTGTTTTTTTTTTTTTTTACAGATGCTGATTATTTAATTATTTTTAGTTGAGATGTTATTTAGTGGATGTGTATTCCCATCAATATGAAGAGCGTCCATTTGTGGTTCTCCCCTCAAGCCCCAATCGTGCACAGAACCCAAAGCAGTACGTTGTGCTGACTGAAGTCTTCCTGCAGCTCTGTCTGGGAACTCAGAGGGTTGTTAAGAATTCCATGAGGCTTTTCTGAAAGGGGGCATACGCAATTACTGTGAGTGCCGCGTCTGGATCAGAGCCCACTCGCGGCGGCGTTGACAAGGCGTTCTCAGAGTGGACGACGTGCACTCCCCGAGTGACACGAGTCTCTCTGATTAATGTAAAATTGCTTTTGAAGGTCAGCCAAAAGACGTGTTTTGTCAAGGGGAGACTGCTGCTTCACGGTGTGTGTGTCCGTGTGTGTGTGTGTGTGTGTGTGTGTGTGTGTGTGTGTGTGTGTGTGTGCGCGCGTCAGGTACGGGCAGGTTAATTGTCTTCTCTTTTCAGTGTCTGAAGTGTTAAGGCAGCTGCCGTTAAAGACATGGAGGTTAAAAACCAAACCTCTTCTATACATCATTTCAGTACGCGGAAGGAGGAGCTGTTCTGTTTACGAACATGTGAATTAAATTCTTGTACAGTGTTTTTAAAATAAATGTTTTTAAACAACATTTCCTTCCTCCTGCAGTTATGGACAAAAAAGTTTCTTGCTCAAAGCATTGTTGAGAATGTTTTGGGTTTGCAGGTTTAATTCCTCCTCTCGGCCTAATAAGTGCTGACTCTGCTGGTCGGCTGAAGGAGAGGCGAATGGGAAGGATGAGGCGAGGACAGGTGGGTCGATGCGTCCTGTTTGGCTCATCCGATCCGCCCAACTTCCAGCTGACGCAAACAATATTTGATATCTCATCTCCAAGCCGTGTTACGTAACCCACGACCATCCAGACTCCTCAGGAGCCGCGTGTAAATGTGACCCTGGGGGGAAACTGTTCATTTTAGGAGAATGTTTGGTTTCCTTTTGGATATGAATGAGAGTTTGCTGAATGTCATTTCCAACTGGGAGTTCAAGGTGAGACACAGAGCTCATGATACCAAATCTTCTCATCATCAAAGCAAGCTGTATTGATTTAGAATCTCAATATAAATGTATTCTAATGAGAATACTTGTGTTTAAAATAGTATTGCACTGTATGTTGTAAAAGTCTAGTTCTAAAAGTCAAACATTCAACACTAAACTGCTTCATCAGGACTGTGGGTCCGGTTTTGATTGATGGACTTATGGGAAGAAAAACACCAACTGCTATGAGGTCGTGATTCAAATTTGGCTCCTGACATGTTTGACATTGTGTTTTTCAAAGGCCGCCCAACTCTGTTTCACTGAGGAGGGGGGGGGGAGAAATACTTTTATCTATCAAGAGCAATAAGCAATTACATTTTTCAGGCTACTTAGAATCTTAATATTAGAATTTAAGGACCCTCCAGATCTGAAAGAACCCTGTATATAGAAACGGAAAAAATATGGTTTGTTTTGGCCTGTGATATGGTTGTATATATGATTTTTTAAAATGTGAAACTAAAGATTGGCGGTCTGAGTCAGGATCAAAGCCAAGTCTAATAATATATATATTATATATACAATTGGGTATACCAAACTAACGATTCAATATATATATTTGCTAGGTTTGCTTTGCAATGATTAATATGATTCAAATTAAACATTTACACGTTTTAAAAGTTAAAAGTAGCATCATTTAAAATAATTGAAATAATCCTGATCGGTTTTTTTCCCTCTTGTATTCATTATTTATTCAGTAAACTCCACTATTACCCGGACCTGAGTTTTAGCCGAAGAGCCTCCTCTGTGCGTGCGTGTGCGCGCGCGCATAGAGCCTCGTCGGGGGGGGGGCTTTTAACTCGCTGCAGGCGAAGAGAGGTTGAGAAATGCGGGCACCGCGTGGGGAGGAACCCCCGCTGCTGTGTTAGTCCTCGCTGTCAACAGCCGTCCCTCTGCAGCTGCGCTCCCGGCTCCGATCGCTCCGTGTGACGGGCGCTGCACGCAGGACATCCCCGGGACTATGTGAGCACCATGCACGCTGTGCGGTGCCTGCTGTTCGCTACAGTGTGCGCGGGGACAGGTAGGCAGGCGGCTTCTCTTCCGCGCGATCGTTTGGGTTTATCACACCGATCATCGTGGGAGGGGGGGGGGGGGTATTTATTTATTTATTTATTAATAACGAGGACCGAGTTATTGTTGAATTCTGCAGAAATAAGCCGTGCAGATCCGCGTATCCTCACGGTGGGTCGTGCATGTGCGCGCGCGCGCGCTGAACCTCCCCGTGGCATTTTTTTTTTTTTTTTGCAGGTCTGAGGGAACCAGTCGGTCCGGAAGGAATTCGGCTGCCGCCCGCAGAGGAGCTGGTTCAGCCCAAGCGGCTGCTGCTGCGACGGATCCACTCCGAGGAGGAGCTGCTCCACGGCCGCCTGGACACGCGGGTCAAAAACTACACGGCCGAAGCGCAGGTGAGTTCTCTCTTCCTCTCTCGCCCCCCCCGCACGTGGTTTGGGTTACGTTGTGACCACAATCATCTAATCTCTGTTTCCACGCGCTGTACAAAAGTTGTTGGCAGGATCCAATTCCGATTCATGTATGTTTTTAGGATAGTTTAAGAGATGCTTTTCCTCTCTGCATGCAGGACAAAGATATTCTATTTTTTTTTTTTTAAGAATCATTTTTGCTTTATAGTTCGTCCTCTTGAATGTTTTTTTGTGATGTTTTATTGCGTTTACTATATTCTTTAAAGCTTCCCACTGACAACATGTTTGGCCAAAATAGTGCATAATAAATTCATGCATTTAAGAGTTGAAAAGTTCTAGATCTCCATAAAAAAGCCCCCCCCCCCTCTCATCCCTCTGCTCTGTCACTCCCCATTTGACCCCTGTTTTCCCTCTTTTATTTGAGGTCAAATGTCCTGCACATGATGCAGAACTTGCCAGGACCACAACTGGGCATAGAAAAAAAACCTCCCCCCCCCTCCCCCCCCCCCTGCTGCCTCCTCCTCCTCCTCCTCCTCCTCCTGTCGAGTCCATTAGGTTATATTTCACACCTCTACCCGTCCTCTCTCGTTACCTCCACTATAAACGCTGCCCGTCAGTCAGTGGAGACGACGCTCGGCTCTGACCTTCAGCTGCCCTCTGTGGGCGACGTGCCGTCAGAGGACCTTCTGTTTGTTTGAGCGTGTGGAAGCCCTCTAGAAGGCGCTCTGCCGGGTGTTTGTGGAGAAGTCCGTTTACGTGGAATTGGTAAATATCTGCAGAACATGAGAGAGTTTGAGTGCAGGTTTAAGTTCTGAGAGGTTCAATAAACTGTCAATAAATGTCTCAATGGTCCTTGTTACTCATTATGGGAAAACTAGAAATAAGATTCATCTTATCAAAGGTTAAAAATTGCTTGTTAACAACATCAATTATACTATGCTTCTAATATTGAGCATTCACACTAATTTGGGTAACTATATAATTTTAAATAAGATGTCGATTTTTGAATGGACATCTTATTTGTGCCATAGATAACGTGTCTTGAGATACTGTGTGGCAGTTCATTATTTGGGATTTTATGTTAAAATAAAATATATGGACCAAAGCTGACGCAGCTTTCTCCTCTCGGCTCACAGGCGCCGTTGTCGTCTTTTTATTGCACCGCACGTGAACCCGGCGGAGGTCCAGATTGGTATTAAGTGGTTTGCAGAGAGCGCGCGGCCGTGCTAATGCGAGAGAGCCGCCTCTCAGATGGGCCGGTAAAGTGGTGATGGGAGCCGCCGCGGCGTCTGTGGGAGCGGCTCACCTTGGGGAAAAGTTAGACTGAGCTGATGAGCCACAGCACCAAGTTTCGTCCTGGGGAAAAAAAGAAAAACGCCTCAGGGACGGACAAAGTCGTCTCTCTTTCAGGGAGGGGTTCCCAAAATAGGCCGTGCATTTTCTTTTCTGCATCTTTTGGTCACGGTGTTCAATTTTAGGTCATTCAATTGTGGATATCCATCAATGTTATTCTTCCTTCTATTAATCTGTTCATCTAAGTATGCATACTATTTGCATACAAAACGCAGTGTAATAAAGATTAACACATAGTGCGTACTGTATAGAATTTGGTATTATGAGGTACAGCAACGTTGAAAGCGGTCAAATGAGAATTCATCTAATAATAAATTATTTACCGAAAAGAACAAACCTGTAGACTGGCATCAAGAAACATAATAAATCCGATACAGTTTGAGTTTTTGTTGCTTCTTTAATCGGTATCTCAGGAATCCGATTGAGTCTCAGTCCAGTCTAACTCCTCCTCCCCCCCCCCCCAGCCGGTCCACGTGGCTCACAGCAGCTTCTTGGTGGAGGCCTTCGGCAAGTCCTTCGTCCTCGACCTGGAACTCAACCAGTAAGTCAAAGCATTCACACATCTGCACCATCGAGGCACCAAACTTGTGTTTAAGCGTTAGTTTCCAGCAGTGGGTGACATGACAACACTCATGCCGGATGGATACCCACCCCCACCCCCCCTCTCCTGGACCCTCCACATATTTTGGTTTTGATTTATAAATCAGCCGTTTGTTGATCAGGACTCCTCCTCCTCATCTGTTTTCTTCTCTCCAGCAACCTGCTATCCAGAGACTATGTGGAGCGTCACTATGATGAGAATGGGCAGCTGTCACAGAATAAGGTAACTCCTAAGGTGACTCCTACAGACTCTAATAGGAATTGTTGGACCTATTGGGAACACACCAGCTGGCTTTCTCGCCTAAAGTTGGATAAGAAGAAAACTGCTTGCATCTTACAGCTGCTCTAAACATCACTAATCAATCCATTTATTTGTTTGATTAAATAATTGTATACCCTTTGGCCTGGACCAGGCTAGCTGTTTCCAGTTGTTGCGCTAAATTCAGCTAACCAGCTGGCTGCTGCGGCGTCATTTTTACATAAAAACATCAGGGGTCTCAAAGATCTAAATCTGAAAATAATATTGAAGCATTTTCTCCCAAATTGTCCAACTATTTCTTTAAATAAACTTTTGATAATTGTTTGAACCTACTTTTCTGTCAGCTTTTACTGTCCTATTTGTCCAGTATTTTTAAGATCATGTTTCCAATCGGTGTGTCCCTCTGAGGAAAATTAAGCTTAATCAATAAATAATAGCAGCAGTGCTTGTTTACCTTCAACTCAAGCAGAAATACATCTTATATATATTATAGGGCTCAGGGCTTTTGCTGTATTCTCCGGATGATTCTTTCATGAACATCTGGGACAGACGGTCTCTTTCAGTCTGCATCCCCTGCTGTATTTCAGCCTCTGTCCCTCCCTCTTCCTGCCCCTCTCTCTCTCTCTCTCTTTGTCTCTCTCTCGGGCAACGACCACCTGACCAATCAGTGCATGGTTGCCATGGGTACCAGCAGGCAGCGGCGGCGTGGGTCTGTAGTGTTATGCCGTGAGGGGAATTCAAATCATGTTCATTTCCAGAACCAACAAAACCAAATCTTACAGCCACAGTCCGCCCTGACCGTTTGAGTTGATTTTCAGGGGTCAAAATCAGACTCTGATTGCAATTGTGTGCAGGGGGCTAGAAAAAGATGGATTTAATTATTTCTCTACCATATATATATATATATTATATAACTAACATTTTAGATTTAAACTGGACTAGAGGAAAGAGAATTACTTTCTATTGTCAGACATGTCTACATCCAAGTCCTCTAATGTCTGATGCTTTTCTTCCTTTCACTTTACATTAGCTCCTATTGTCTCATTAGCTTTCCGCCCGCTATCTCAACAACGCTGAGTCAAAGTCCAGACATAAAAAAAACTCCAGGTTTTCTAATTCGGTTAGTTTTCAAATGTCACATTTAATCCATGTCTCTTCTCTCTCGTCACCCTTTATTTTTCCTCCATTTGTGCGTGCAAGCGGTTTCTATTTCATACTTAAGTTCACTGGGTTCCGATGTCGTGTTCTGTAGGTTGTGCTGCGTTCCGGGTGAAGTTTAATGCTCGTTTAAAGCACATCCATGTTGCCTCTTTTCTCTTTGGTCTATCAGCCGTGTTGGACTACAGCAGACTCGGGTGGCAGATGTGACTTATTGGGGTTCATTACAAACGCCTGAAACTGACCCTCCATTACACACACACACACACTCCGTAGCTTCGAGGCGCATTGCTGTAATCTCCCTCCACTCAAGCAAAAGCCTGCTTGATTATGAACAATCCTTTCCGGAGAGTTCTTCTGCGTTTGTACTTTCTAAAACATTGATGCCACATGCAGGTGCTGCCTGCCCGACGGCGGCGGCTCTCCTCTCTGATGTAATCCCATCCTTCCTGTATACTGTGAGAGGCGGCGTGGAAACACCATATTCTAAAACGTTACCATCCAGCCGGAGCCTTTTAGCGGGATTATTAAGAACCAGGTGAAGTTATCTGGGAGCGAGTGCTGCACCAACTGAGCGTGAAGCTTGTCATTTTATCCAATATCAAAACTGAGAACAACGGCTGGCTGCAGAATAATTACAAAAAACATGATTTATAATCCTTTATTTTGTTGTCGGATTTACAAAATGCCTTTTAGATTCTTTAATTTTTTTAAAGGGGTCCTTGTCGTCCTTAGATCTTTAGTGTCAAGTCACTGTCAATGTCAACTTTTGCGATATTCTTTTGATTTTGTGCTGCAGGAACTGGAAATTGTTGGCAAAGTCACGTGCATGTGAAAAGCCATCGAGATGCAGCTTTTGTAGGGTTTGGTTCCCCTGGACGCTAAGTTGACAGTTGACAGTGATTTTCAGCCCAGTTTTTTTTAGGGGTCAGGACATCGGGGTGGGGGGGGGTCACAGTCAGTGGCGGCTTCCTTTTTCCTCAAATGTGACACGAAGGCGTTTGTGGACGACGGAGGGTTCAGTGGGTCAAAGCCTCCCACGCTTTGTTTCCAGGGCGGCGAGCACTGCTACTACCATGGACGCGTGCGAGGGCGGCCGGGCTCCTGGGCGGCTCTGTCCACCTGCCACGGCCTGCGGTGAGTCCAACCCCCCCCCCCCCCCCAGTGTCCCTCAAAGACTGGCATGTCAGGACCCAAAGTTTGGTGTCAAACGTGTGAAGACTTTGACACATTAGACTTTGCTAAGTAGAGGGAGACCCGTAAAACCCAGTAAGCCATTTTCTCTCGTCCATGATGAATATGTAGCTGCTTAGCTTAGCACAAATAATTCAGTCCCTCCCAGGACAAACTGTAACATGCGGCGGTGTTTGGTGATTTTTCAGGGGAATGTTTTCCGATGGAAACGTCTCGTATGGGATCGAACCTGTCGGCAGTGGACAGGTGAGTCTGGACGTAAAGGAGGAGAAACTAGTCGAGTTAATAGTTGACACACATCGAGATGAGGCAGCAAGGTTGTGACAAATGGAGATCGTTGAATAAAATCCGGTTAAAAGTCCCCCACAGTGTCACTTTCTCTCTCCGCAGTGTCCGTGACTTACCGTCAGCCCAGACGGTGTTACTCTATCTCTGCGTGGAAAGTATTGAGTTGACACACAATCCACCACGGCTGAAACCTTTAACCCGTCTCAAATCTGAAGAAGACTCGGTCTCACAAACGGGGAGATTTCACATGACCAATAAACGCATGAGAGGCCTTTTAGACCTTTAAAAAAACATTGTCATTAGATTGCAGAATAGTTCCAGTATGAAAAGGAAATGGAAGTAAGGCCGAGTGACCGAACGGAGCGGGGAGAAAAGTGTTAAGAGTGGAAGAGCCCCCCCCCCCCCATTAATCGACGTATGGCTCTATTACATAGACTGGAGAGATGGATCAATATCCTCCCGGCTCATCTACAAAATCCTTCTCTCGCCATCTCGGATGGCTCATTTTCATAAAGTATTTATTCCGAGCGCAAGTGTTAGTGCCATTATGACTGGTAATTGATTAATTATGCATCGGAGCACTTTCCTTCCACCCTCGAACCTTCCGCACCTCAGAGGACACGGCAACGGTTTCTCACACAGCGACGCTGACGGGAAAAAAAGTAATTTCAACGCTTGCGAGATAATAAAGCCACTGTGTTCAGGTCTATGTATGAATGCCCCTTCATAGAGAATAGTTATGTTAATCAAAGCTTGGTGCACCTTGTTAAAGGTCCTCATCTCCCATCTGAGGATTGAGGTCAAGTTTTACAAGTTTTATTAAATTTCTGTACTCAAATGCTGAACTCAAAACGTCCTTAGTTCCCCCAAATCCTTAAATCCTCCAAAAGAAGAAAGATGCAAAGATTCGGGCAATCAAAGTTGTCTTCACTTCTCAGTGATTCCTTTTTTTTCCTTTTTTCTTTATACATTCATGTCAAAAATTAAATGAATTAATTCCACCCTCCCATGTCTGTCTCTGTCGCTGCTTGTTATGCTTTTGGAGGACGTCGTCCAGGATCACAATGACCACGTTGTGTATCGTGTGCCGGACGTTGACCTCTTCCCAACTCCCTGTCCAGGTAGGACCACAATGAGACTTCTCAGTGATGATATGAAATCCCTGTGACATCGTACCGTTTATGAACCTCCCGCTCGGGTTGTCCAGCTGCTCCTCTCGCCCTTGCACTACATGTCTCCTTTGGCTGCCTTGTTGCAGCCTCTCCTCTTTGTCCCTGACATCCCTCCTTCCTCTTACTCAACCCCTGCTGCCCCCCCCCCTCCACTTGGCAAGTTATCCCCTCTCCCCCCCCCCCCCCCTCCCCCCTTATCCGGCCGCAGGTTTAAAATTGATTTCTCCTGCAGATCTCTGGACTAAAATACAGTTACATCCAGCTCTGGTCTGATGATGAGCCACTTTTCCTCTCACTTAGTCTGTGTGTGTGTGTGTGTGTGTGTGTGTGTGTGTGTGTGTGTGTGTGTTTCCCAGGATGCTCTCTGAACGCCACCGAGCCCAGGAGGCGGACAGAGGGTGAGCTAAAGGATGGAGACCGCTGGTCTGAAGAGGGCGAGCCTGTTTTTACAGAAATCCTGAGACGCTCAAAAAGACAAGTGAGTTTTCAGACGGCTTCTTTCTTGCGACGCGCGTCCCTGTGCGCCGGCAGATGGCCGGCCTGGAACATCATTTACTAAAACATGTCACCATGAGGGAAACGTCAGTGTTCAGATCAGCAGATAATTAATGTTTCACTGTTACTTGACTGATACCAATTGATTTCTTGTTGCCTTGTGCAACACATTGGTGCTTTTGGCCTCTGCTGCATCCGTCTTGGCCTTAAACGTGAAGATGTGTGATGTGTGATGACAGTTTGTGGATTGTTTGCACTGTTTGCTGCCTCTACTGAATCCGACGAGACCTTCGCTTCACCGTCCCGACGAAGCAGTGTTGAAATCTTACAAAGTGATCTTGCAAGTGATGTCTTCCGACACAGATAAATATTCTACTTAATGAAAAAATCCCAAGGACAAAGACTTTCACGAGCGCTCTAGTGTCCTGTGTGAGTAATTGTTTCCCCCCCACTGGGCTTGCGTGCGCGCGTTGTGCAAATGTGCGTCCGTTGGTCCTGTGTGAAGGTCGAGTGACGACAGCACACTCAGAAGTTTGGCCGTGTGCGTCTCCTTCTGCTCCCTCCAGGTGCGGCGAGGTCAGCGCACCGTTCAGACCGAGACCAAGTACATCGAGCTGATGGTGGTTAACGACCACGAGCTGGTGGGTGTGAAGCACTTTCTTCTCTTTATCTCCCCAAGTGCTGCGTGAAGGCATTAACGGGAAGTGGGCGTGACGTTCATTAATGAGAGGATTTTAATCCGCCGATAGGACTTTGTAATCGGCACAGGGAAAAAAAGATGAAAGGCGGTAGCGTCATAACGCCTTTCCTCCTCTCCTCCTCTTCCCTCGTTAGTTTGTGCAGCTTCGTCGGTCGGCCACTCAGACGAAGAACTTTGCCAAAGCGGTGGTGAACATGGCCGATGCTGTGAGTGGAAAATACGGCTGCAGAATTGTCTATGATCTCCCCATCATCTTTTTTTTTTTTTCCAAACATGGCACCCATTCACAGTGAACCTATTGTAGGAAGTTCCTTGAACTTTGAACATTTAGATCCCACAATTCAGCGCTAATTTCTCTTACATATTAAACTTTTCTGCTGTCCTCAAAAAAAAAAGAAAAAAACTGTTACTGTTTTTTTATTTTGTAAATATCAACCATTTCCTTTCATCTATTGAGTTGGTGATGCTGGTTTCCATGGCAACCGACGGCTGCCTGTCTCTCACTGTCAAAAATAGAGATTCAACCGTCTCTATTATCTGCAATATTTGTCTGCAACTTAACCCCTTTATATAAAACACAAGAGCATAGTTTTAGTTACTATACTATTCACTTGTTTATTCTTTAATTTAAACTCAACTATTACTTAATCGTTCAATCCTTTCTGTTTATATTTTTTTCTTCACCTGCTCTGAAGTGTTATGTGGAATAATTGTAGTGAGATCCATTTTTTTTTTTTAAATATCTTGACATTTCCAGATCTACAAGGAGCAGCTCAACACTCGCATCGTCCTGGTGGCCATGGAAACCTGGTCTTCTGAAAACAAGGTCTCGGTGGGCGAGGACGCCTTGCTCACGCTGCGCGACTTCATGAAGTACAGGAAGGAGAGCATCAAGGAGCGCTGCGACGCCGTCCACCTCTTCTCGTTAGTTCCTCAGCGTCCTCCTCCTCCGTGTCCCTCTTCCCCCTCCTGCGCCTATTATTAATTTGCTGTCTCTCCCGCCGCAGAGGGAGGACGTTCATGAGCAGCCGCAGTGAAGCAGCCTACATCGGGGGCATCTGCTCCGTCAGCAGGGGCGGAGGCATCAACGAAGTGAGACTCGTCCCTCGCTTACGTTAGACTTGAGAGAGAAGCAACAAATCCTTGTGCTCGTCCGATGAACTTCGCGAAGAACGGATGTTTACAGAAGTAATGAATCGTTCACATTCCCTTTAGTTGTGATGTATCGTTAACCCGATTTATATGTGCGCCCTCAGTTTGGCAGTGTGGGTCCCATGGCCATCACATTGAGCCAAAGCCTCGGCCAGAACATCGGCATGCTGAGGAACAAAGAGCGACTGGCTGCAGGTGAGACCGATGCAAGTTAAAGTTTGATAAAGTTCAAAATTGAATCGCTGTTATTTCTAAAAATCTTTACACAGCACTCCTTTGGTTTACCACTGAGAATGTGCTGATTGTATTCAGCTCCCCCAAGTGGTGAAAAAGAATGTGTTTTATGTGCATGTGTGCAGGAGACTGCAGGTGTCCTGACCCATGGCTGGGCTGCATCATGGAGGACACCGGGTACGCTTCCCTTTTTATTTAGAATCAATTATTAATGAGACCTGCAGCACATTAAGCAACACTCCTCGAGTCTCAGGAATCCAAAGACTTATTACAGGCTTTTCTGTGATCTTTAAAATGTCGCTTGTAAAACCACCCGACATCATCCGTGTAAAATATTCACAGCATTTTGATTAACCAGGTTTTCATATTTTAATCAGACTTTTGGTGGCTTTTTCCAATGCTGCAAATGATTTCTTTATTCTCCTCTACTGAATAGTTACTACCTGCCCAGGAAGTTCTCCCGCTGCAGCATCGATGAGTACTTACGATTCCTCCAGGTGGGAGGAGGCAGCTGTCTCTTCAACAAGCCCAGCAAGGTGAGAGACACTCGGTCATCATTCTAGATTTCTCTCCACAGTAAAGCTGGTTTGAATGTATTTTCATCGTCCGTTCTGGTTATATTATATATTATTATATTATATCTGGTTATATTTCATATTTTTGAATCTTGTAGTTGTTGGACCCACCAGAGTGTGGGAATGGATTTGTGGAGCCGGGAGAGGAATGTGACTGTGGATCGCTCGTGGTGAGCACATTTGGAGCTTTCACACTGTATTGTACACAAACATTATGACGGCGGATTTTAACCCACTTTTTTGCCTTAAATCTAGTTGAAAAAGCTCAAACTTACAGTAACAACTTGTCACATCCTTTTCTAATCTGTCCAGAACATTTTTGGAGCTCCACGTACCAAGTCCTGTTTTAATTGGATTGTTGTTGTTCATGTGGGTTGAAAAATCTCACCCACAGGAGTGTGCACGGAACGGCGCCAACTGCTGCAAGAAGTGCACCCTTACCCACAATGCAATGTGCAGCAACGGGCTCTGCTGCAGGGACTGCAGGGTGAGCCGCTTCAACGCGGCGCTTTCTCTTGAGAGTTCGTCGCTATTTCTCCAGGCACCCGATTGGACTGTTTAGGCTCCCTCCTGGTTCCGTCCCACCCAACTCACGCTTTTTTCTTTGCCTGTGGCAGTACGAGCTGAGAGGGGTGACTTGCCGCGAGGCCGTCAACGACTGCGACATCCCCGAGGCCTGCATGGGAGACTCCAGCCAGGTAAAACGCGTCCTCGACGAAGGTCCGACGTCTGTAGCCCGTAATGTGAGGACGGACAGGCCGTTAATATTTCCCACCCTCTCTTTCAGTGTCCTCACAACGTCCACAAGCTGGACGGCTACACGTGCGAAGCTGGACAGGTGGAGTCACGTCAGGTGCAGAACGTTTGTTAAAGCGTCTGTTGTTACATTTAATAAAATGCTTTTTTGCTTTATTCAGGGTCGGTGTTACGGAGGTCGCTGTAAGACCAGAGACGGCCAGTGCCGGACACTGTGGGGCTACAGTAGGTTTTGGATTGGATGTTTAGCTGCGTTTCTAAATCATGCACGGCCGTCTGGATTTCCTGTGAAGAGAGGCGTTGAGGCAAGACCACGTCTTTGTCCAAGTGAAGGGACTTTTCTGTCTTCTCAGACTCGGCCGACCGGTTCTGCTACGAAAAGCTTAATTCTGAGGGCACAGAGAAAGGAAACTGTGGTCCGGACTCCAGTGGTCAGGGATGGGTGCAGTGCAACAAACAGTGAGAGAACACCATGGCTTCATTATATACAAACAGCAAATACAGTTTTTTTTTTTTTTTCTTTTATAGAATCTCACGAGTTTGATTTTTTTGGATTATTTATTTATTTATTGTCTCCTCCAGGGACGTCCTGTGCGGTTTACTGCTGTGCACCAACCTGACGGAAAGGCCGAGGTTCGGCGAACTTCAGGGGAAGGTCACCAGTCTGACCATCCACCATCAGAACAGATACCTGGACTGCAGGTGAGGCAGCTTGGTTTTGTTCGAGCAGCCACTGATTAAACAACTACTCATGCAGAAAAGATGACTGCATTTAAAGGTGTAGATCTTTTATTGTTTTGGCAATCACAAAGCGAGTGAATTATTATTATTGGTCCGTGACAAACAAACCAAAAGAGGGGTGACCGCGTGTGTCCCCCCCCGACCCTACAGGGGCGGCCACGCCGTGCTGGACGACGGCCTGGACATGGGCTACGTGGAGGACGGGGCGCCGTGCGGGCCGAACATGATGTGCTCGGAGCGCCGCTGCCTCCCCGTCACCACCTTCAACCTCAGCACCTGCCCGGGCTCCTCGGCTTCGGCCTCTCGCATCTGCTCGCATCACGGGGTGAGTCCGTCGGAGGGATTTAGCCGCTTGGACAAACAAAAGGTTGGTGGGCAGCAGACGAGATGATGCGTCGGCATCATTTTTGTCTTTTTGTTTCGCAGACTTGCAGCAATGAGGTGAAGTGTATCTGTGACCCGGACTACACCGGGAAGGACTGTAGCGTGTTCGACCCGATCCTCGTCCCCACGCCGGCGGATGGCCCGGAGAAATACAAAGGTACCAGCGCAGAGCGCCTTGTCTACGCGTAGTCCTTTCAACAGATGGAGCAGGAAGTAATATGATATCGAGCATCGCTTTTTGAAGCACATATAACAATTTTTGGTCATTTTTGGTACTCTGCACTCTTTTTATTCTTTTATTTTCCCCTCACTGGTTCACTCCTTCACTCCCAACAGGTCCCAGTGGCACCAATATAATAATAGGTTCGGTTGCTGGTGCAATTCTGGTGGCAGCAATAGTCCTCGGGGGAACCGGATGGGGGTTTAAGTAAGAGCATGTCCCCATCTGTGTGCGCCTGCTGTATTCCTGTATACATACGCACGCACGCCCGCTGCTGAAACGTGTCTTTGCTTGTTGTCTGATCAATACTCTTAACCAGATCTCCACGTGGGTTTATTATTGCTTGCTATTCTTACAAAGCCACATTAGTCCCATCACGGACGGAGGTGGCGGACAGGAGCTGCTCCACTTTTCATTATGGATGATTTTTACTTTAAGTCTAAGAGACCTTTTATTAAGTGGGCTGTAGACGTAAAAAGTAGAACATGTTCTCAATGGTCAAATAATCAACATTCAATTGAGAGAAATAGATTCATCTTTTTGAGTATTTTTTTTTAAGCTGAATTGGCTCACATTTTTACATTTTGTGTTTTTCTCTTTCGGTAAACTTTTGGTCGATTTTATACATTACAAACTTAAAAAAGAAGACGTCACCAAACTTTTAAAAACATTTTACTGCCCACACAATTTTAGATCTTGTTCCAGCTCCACAGATTCACTGGTTTTCTGCCACTTGTTCTGACAAATTGTGACAAGTGTCACTCGCTATCTCTGAATGATTTAATGACTATACTTGATTAGCCTTAAACAGCTTTTTGAGTCTTCCCCGATACTCCTATGTTGGGAGAACTGATTCTACACATCACTCTCGAGTCCGCCTAGGCTGAAGACTACAAGTTTTTAGTCATAATTTATTTGTACAGCACATTTTAAACCAAGAAAAAGCTGTACAATCTAAAAGTAACAATACAGTAATGCATATATTTGACCGTGTTGGAGTGGGGTCTATTTCCTTAATCTCCTAATTTATTTGCATCACAAAATAGGTTTGAAAAGCCTGTTTTTAATGCTTTGCTTTTAAGGCCTCGGGTTCACTGCACGTTTTCTTTTGCCTTCGCTCCGTTTCTCGCGCATGTGAAGCCACAGTTGAGCGTCGTTCCCGTGTTTCTGCTTCACGGCCTGTTTTCTCTGCTCCCTCCATCTTGTTCCTGCCTCGCTGCGGATCCAGAAACATCCGGAGAGGAAGGTACGACCCCGCCTTCCAGTCCTGATCCGGCAAATGTTATCAGTTATCAACCGCAGTTCATCGTGTAAAACACAATGTGGTCGGTTTTTATAGGACGCCTCTAATTATTTATCAGCTGAGCACCTTTACAGATAATTCAAAGCCCACATTTCATTGGCTTATATGGCCTTAGATATTTTTATTTTACACATTTTTAACTAAGTTTTATTTGTATATGTATTGCATGGGCCAATGCGTACCACAGTATTCGTTTAGCTTATACTAGTTTGCAGTCTTCTCCCATATATTGGTCTTTCAAGATGCACAAAACGTAATGTTATTTTAGTATTAGGAAACATCGCTAACTCCTAAATCTTAGTTGACTCGTATTATTTTTATTGCTCGTACCTTCACTTACCCGGCTGCCATTTCTAGAATATAGCTGCAGTGTTTATTGTACATTTAATTTCATAATACTTTCAATAATAAAATTGAACTCCCTTCATTTTCATGTAAGAAATCTCAAACATTTGATATTTGATTGTGAGAATTTTCTTGTGTTACGGTTGATTAAACGTCTTTGTGACAGACAGAACATTTGAAGATTGATGGTGGAAAATATAATATTTTTCTAATATTTGAATGACCAATCAAGTATTTTTAATTAAAGTCTGTCATCAAAACAATCATTACTTCTTCTTCAATCAGTCTTTTCAATTTAGCGAGTCTTTGCCAACCTGTCGGTTCCATCAGATTCCTCAATCTTGTCCCTCTTTTTATCTTCCGCTCATTTCCTTTCCTCGCTTCCTTCCTCTTCTCTTTCCAGATCTTCGTGAGTTTGAGTTGCATCTCTTCGCTGTCCTGTCCTCTTTACACGCCGTCCAGTCGGCTCTCAGGAGACGAGACATCTTCCACTTCAGACCCCTCCGACCTTCTTCTGTTTCTGATTCCATGAACGCCGCCTGCGCTGCTGTTCTCCTCCTGAGAAGCCCGCTCGTTATTTGTTTTAAGTGCAGCATGGAAGTTCCCACCAGATCCGTGATGCAGTCAAGCGGTTGTCTGGTTCCAAATATCTGCTTTAGTGTCACGCTCATATTTTTTATTTACAACATTTCTGCCCGGGACACCCGTGTGTTCATTTTCTCTTCAGCTCATCTTCAGCCACATTGACTGATTTACCCTTTTTCATTTCATGGAGAGCACAACGACCACCTCTCTGTTGTGTGACTCTACCTTCTTACTGCAGCAGACGTGCATGAACATCACTAACGGTGAATGTCGACACTCTACCCGTCTGGCCGAGGGTTGTTTTGTGCGCCGGTACTTCACATTCCACGGTATTAGCCATACTTTCTCTTACGCTGCCGTTCATTATGAAACAATAGACCATTCTAATAAATGCTTCTGCATAGTACGCGTTGATGTGTGAGTGTGTAGTTTAGGCCTGCAGGGAAGCTAGTTGTGTAGGACTTTGTAGCATACGAGTATGCTGCACATGGGTGCTGATGTACATAGGGTGTCATAAGGTTGACTTATGAAGACAGCAGGGAGTCACTGCCGCTCTGAATAAAAGCACAACTCCGGGGAGAGTGAAGACTCCTCCGGCCTCTCAGCGTAAAACTGCTACTTTTTGAAGATTTTCCTTTCTGCGAGAGCAGATTTGAATCTGCAGCTTAGAGAAGTTTGAGCTCCTCTGGTTTTCCACCAAGTGTGGGATGGCCGATCGCTTGGATCACAGAGAAAGATGTTTGGAGTATTGTGCGGTTCATACATGCCTTTCTGAGATTTACAAACTGAGAAATGATGAAGTAGTTCAGATATTGACACAGGATCTCACACAATGTTCATAGATCATAATCTGACTTCCACGTGCTCATTCAAACTGCCGAGGTAAAACTGGAATTCCTACCGACTAGATCGATGAGCAATAGATATGTAGATATTATAAATGTCTGAAAATGAGTCATCGATGTGCATGACTGTCTCCGTCTCCTCTTCTGCTACTCAGAGAATCTTAAATCAGGTTGAGAAGATGTAGTTAATGTGTACAAAGACGGCTTTGGACCCCTTTGCGTGATCGCGTGTCTCGTATCTTGATCAGACTCAGACTTCATCTTCAGATCCAAAAGAAACAAAAGGTGTTTTAATGCAAGGTGTGAAGGATCCTCGTGTATTTAGTGTTTAGTTTGTTTCACCAAATAATCGCACGTGTGCCGCGAGTTGAGTTGATCCGAGTTTTACTGCCAGCATCGACCTCCAGTAGCGTCAAAGGAATACGTTGACCTTCGTCTGCCTCGGACAGGGCACAGAATAAAATAAATCCCAATGACTCAAATGAGTGCAGTTTAGTCATGGACGTTTATTGTTGACTACGAAACGCTCACTTATTTTCACTTTGAACAGCAGGTGTGGTTAGAACGGCCGTCAGCGGGGTTTTTCCTTTAATCGGCCTCGGACGCTCTTCGTGCTGAATACTCGCTGTGAAGGATCTAATGCGAAGACGATGCTCCGGTCCCGCGGTGTTCCCCCGCTCACATGGTATAGTTGGACTCACTCACACAGGGACGTCCACATTGTTTATTCTAACAGGACCAGTATTAGCTCGGCCTATAATGTAAATAGTCATATTATTGTATATTGAAATGCATATTAAAACATATCTGAACCACTGACTGTGTTCCGTTGGACGTGCTTAAATTCGCAGTATGTTTTTTGTTTTTTGGACCAGTGAGAGTTCACTTTAAACAACGTGTAGTTCTTCCTGTTTACGAATCGGGTTGAATTCATAAATATTTGCTTGACCTTTTGGGGGGGGGGGGGTTCCACAGCGTTTGTGGAGGACTGGAATGAAATCCTTGTATCTGTGCCTCTTCACAGCATTAACAACAAAAGTATTTTCCACACGCGTACGGACTATATTCAATCTTCTGCTATCCAGATGTAGCAAATGCAATAATTATTCTTTTTTCATCCAAGCATACGAGTCTGTTAATTGAAACTACATCATTTTACATTAACGTTCATGCTTACAGGAGCCTATTTTTTTTAGGTAATTTACTCATCCAGATGGTAACAAACCATGATTGGTTTGGAGACGTTGTTTTATAAAAGCTGGCGTTTCAGAATGAAACGGATCACTGGTGTCTATCGGATCGACCGTTGTATTACATTCTCACTCTTCACGTATTTGGCTCCCCGGCGTCTCCTTTGCCCTCCGGCTGGCTCCACGCTGCGTAGATGGACTCCTCGTAGTCTCCGATCCCTTCAAACTCTATGTCGGGAGACTCGGAGGAAAAAAGTGCAGCTTCCTCGGGTCCAAGAAAATCCTGAAAGAAAGAAACACGACATTACTCACAATGACATTTGCTTAGTGTTTTACAGCCTTTCATAGAAGTTTTACGGAAGGTTTTTAAGGCCGTATGTCAACACCAGTGTTGGGCAAGTTACTGAAAATGAGTATTTAGTTACAGTTACTAGTTACTTAAAGGTAATTGAATTACTTACCAGTTACTGTGTATCAAAAGTAATTGGTTACGAAAGTAACTTTTATGTCTGCTTTTTAAATGTAATGAATATAAATAGTACTGAACAGTCAAACACAATAAACATATTTTTTAGACCTATTTATTGTAATCAACAGGGCAACAGGCCTTCAAATCAAGCAATAGTACAAAAGTCCTTTTTAATACTTAACTTAATACAAAATAACAGTTTCAGGCATTTGCCTGAAGGCCACTGACTCGACGGTTGACAGGATGCTTCTCATCTTCAACACAGCGAGCGATCAATCTATTCAGCTCTGCCCGGTTCATCGGCTGCACTGCAGTCCGTGTAAAGTGGAGCCCTGGATGTTTGCGTGGAGCGGCGCCTGCAGCATCCTGCGCTCCTTCGTCATGAGCGACGCAATGCTGTTTACGTGCACGTACGGCGACTATTATTCTGTGACACACAACGTTTGGTGGCCACAACTATTTTGTGCTGACAGGCAGCTATTTACTTACTATTTGCCGGCCCTCCGCTTCGCGTCACAAAAGAGAGTAACGCGAGTAACAAACTCATTTCAATTTCAGTAATTGTAATTTTATTTAAAAGAATACTTCGTTAAATTCCCCTTTTCATGCCACTAGTTTTTGAAAAATGACATGTGTCCTGTTTAAGAAAATATCCCTTATCTTTTCTTCAATCATCTCACCTCATCGTCCATCTTCAAGTACAACTCTGCAGATGTCAGCATCTGCTTTAGAGTGACTGTGTGGTTGAAGTGGATTACAGCCTCCTATTTAAACACAGACGCATTAAACCGAGATTAGAGGCTTTCAGCAGACAAACTGAGCAGACTGATTGTGGTCCAAGACGCTGCGTGAGGTTCTCGCTCACCCTCCTGGGTGAGAAGTGGTCGGGCTGGAGGCCCCACTGCTCGCCGTAGGCTCTGTAATACTGCAGGTTCTGCCTCATGACCGCGTCCTCGGGTTCAAAGAGGACGTAGCTGTACGCGCAGGGCGACGCACGGCGGCCGTCGTTCACTGCTCGTGGAGGGAAAAGAAACAGGCCGACATCGCACGGATGAGTGTTGGTTATCACTCAGCATCGGGGAAGAACATCCTCATCCTTTTGCAGTTGTACACTTACACTTATAGTAGGCGAACTGTAGGTAGTGGTACATAGTGGCAACAAATGTTTCCACAAAATAACCACCAACATTGGGCATCAAGTTTTCTTCACACTTCAGCTTACAGCGTAATGTGTCGGCGTAAACATCTGGAAAAGCAGAGCGGAGATTATTTATTATGTAGTAAGTCACAAAATAAAATCATGAGGTGTCAGAGCGTTCAGATCCTTTACTAAAGTAAACGTAAATTAATATTAATACGTCCTGCATTCAAAATAATATTTCAGTCAAAATAATGAACACCAAACAAATTTAGAAAAATATATTTAGATATCAAAAGTAAAAGTAATCATACTCTGCATTAGTTTTTCTGGTTTTGGTTTAGCCCTATTTTGTCTTATTTTAACAATTTAGTCCAGGGATTTATTTCACAAAATTATTTTTTTCTGATCCGTTATTAAAATAAATCATAAAAGCATAAGAGAATTGGTGGTATTCTAAATCAATTAAGACATGAAACTTAGTGTACTTTTTATTAGGTCAATAACTCAGCTATTTTCCAGAAAAATCAATTTTCTTTAGTTGTAGTTTTTCAACAAATTAATTTGTCACCTCCAGTATTATTTTCTGTTCATTCGATTAAAAGCTGCAAACCAACCTGCCATGGCTGCATAGAAGTCCTGGTGCGGGGAAAGCTGATTGACCCCCTCGCAGTCGGCCTGACAGAGGTCGTACTCGTCCAAGTAGAGCCTCAGAGCTTCCTCCATGAGTTCCACACTGCGGCTGTAGGCGCCTGAATTGGCGAGTTTCACTCCTCTCAGAAAGGACGACTATAGAAATGAAGTCAATGGTGGACTTTTTTGGCCTTAGAATATTACACGCTAAAGTATTCGACAGTGTCGCTGTATAAACAATGCATCATTCAGGACGGATTGGTTGTCTTCACCTCGTATGGTTGTCCTTCGTGGTCGGTGAGGTATCCGCTCAGGTCGTACTGCCTCTTGTACTCCTCCATCAGCCGGTGCATCTCCTGGTCCTCGGGGTTCTTCTGGAGGTACGTGTAGGCACACGGGACTGCCCTCTGCAGGTCATTCAGCTGGGAGTAAAGCACTCAATTACCACCGCTGTTGATGGGAGGACTGGGACATCTACCATAACTATTTCTTACTTGTGTATAACTGGGGAGAAACGCTTTCAATTGAATATATGAGCCGAGGTGATCAAATGTATCCCAGTAAGAAATATAAACTCAGATCTTGATGGTTATTTGGGGACATTTTTCCCTGTGACCATACAAGTCCTGAACCAGATCCCAAGACCCCATAATATGAGCCAACACGACTTTTACATCCATGACATGAGGATGGATCATTGCTCATATTTCAAGATGTTTTCCAATCTAGTTTAACGTAACACAACTATACGATTGTTGAAGACCTTTTTAAACGACGATCTTGTAAATCAGCCTGATGTATATCGGTGTAAGGCGTCTCACCCTGGAGTAAGCAAAGTGCAGATATCTGTAGGGAGACCTTCTGTCGAAATCTTCCAGGATCTGTCTGCCGGGAGCGGGGAGCTGGAACGCGGGCAAACGCGCCCTGCACTTCTTCTGACAAGACGCGTCCATCATAACGCGCCAGTGGACCTGGATGTCCCGGTTGCCCGTGAAGGGCGGTTCTCGGTGTTTGGTGCCGTCACAGTGGCGCACGCAGTGCCTCGCGCTGTCTCTGAGGAGCCTGCGCAAACGCAGACTCCATTCCAAATATTCGATGGCTTCGGGCCACTTTTCTGCTGCGTAATGGTCCAAAGCCAGTCCGTAGGCGGTCGCGAGGGGCGCGAGCTCCTCCGCGGGGAAATTCCTGAAGTTATAGTTTTCATATTGCGCGGCTGTCATAAAAATATGGGTCAAACATAGCGACGCGACTACTTTTGCGCAAGAAGTAACCATGATAAGAGGACATCCAACATGTTAGTACGTGTTGCTCCTGCTGGTGTCTGGTTGAGGGGGGCTGCTGCTGGACAGCTTAAGGGTCTCTGGGAATTCCGCCATTGGGTCTTTCAGAGCTGGTGTCTCGGGTTTCTATACAGCCGTCACCAAGTTTCTTTATTTGGCACAGGATCAACCCGCATGCGTAAAAAGAGCCGCTTGGGCATTGTTGAGTTATCAGTTATGTTGTCGTTGATTAATCCACTTAAACTATATGATTAGTAAGATTGAGATTCAATAACTTGAGTCCCAAAAGTTCTGAATGGTTGTCTTCTAGGGGTTAATGATGCCAGTTAAGTGAATTATATGTTACAAATATTTTAAGCAGTGCTAGCTTTTTGCGCACAATTGTTTGGGATCGTCACATTTTGTTATATGAGTCACATTGAGATGTTTTACAATAGAAAACACATTCCCTCTTTAGCTGGGCCGCGGGCATGTTGATTCTAGAGAGAATATCTAGAAAAGAATCTAGACATCTTTTTAAAAAAAAGGAAAAGTTTAAACTTTGGGGGCTGTCAGATCACTTTACGGCTCGGATCCAAGGGGGCGGGTCTCTCTGCTCTGTGGGTCAGGTGAGGATCCGCGAACCAAGAATGGGCGACTTTCCTTTCAAAATAAAAGCAAAAAAGGGGCACTTAAACCCCCCCAACGATATAGTCATTCTAATCTACTTAAAAACAGTCATACATTAAAAAGATGTAGAAAGTTGATGTATTGGATTCAATAAAACAAATAAAAATGAATGAAACGGTTTAGTAGTTGTTCGGTTACCATACTTCTGTTTTTTTTTTTTAAAGGAAGTAGCGCCCTTTCATCATAGAGGTTAACTTGATGGAGGCGCGTCCCATTTCCAACTCGACATTTCTTCCCTCTGGCAAAAAGTCCTCACTGCAGGCAGGAGAGATTGTCCACGTTTACAGCATTCCTGCACCGCTTCCCTTCTCATCATCCGCAACCTCGGCCCGCTGCGTAAAAAGCGCAAACAGCTCCGGGCCTCATATTTATTACAATTTGGGGTTATTTTTTTGTTTTTGGTTGATTGGTTTGAATCCCTCTTAACTTATTTGACCTCGTCCTGCAAAGATGTTTTCCTGCTGCGTTGTCTTTTTCCTCCTTACTTCGTGGTCTGCCGTGGAGTGCAATCCCAGTCCTGTGTTAGGAGATGTAGTCGTGGACAGACGCTTCATCCCCCAAAACTGCGCCAGAGAAGCCAAAGAGGGCGATTATGTCCGCTATCACTACAACGCAACGTTTCTCGACGGGAAAACATTTGATTCGAGGTAAGTTTGTCTTCATTGCATCTGAAATGTTTCGTGCATTTATCTCCGTTTTGTTTCTTCGGGTTCAAAGTGGGTTGGTTGGATGCAGGAGAGGCCACAAAACGCTTAAAAAGTTTGTTTAGCAAAACCGGATAAAGCTTTAAGGTTTTTTTTTTTTTTTGTCCAGTAAAAAAAAGTACTTAAATTTAACGTGTTACGATATGGTTGCAAGTATTAATACACATCTACAAAAAATAAGTAACTTCCCTTTTTAATAGTCTTCCCGTCGACCCGCTGGAGCTTTTGTCAACGTTTGGTTTTCCTTCCTAGCCATGAGAAGGGGGAAGCCAAGGTGGGCCTGCTCGGGGAGGGCCGCCTCATCGCGGGCATCGACAAAGGCCTGCGGGGGATGTGCGTGAACGAGCGCAGGACGATCACCGTGCCGCCGAACATGGCCTACGGAAGCACCGGGGCAGGTACGTGGAAAGAAAACTGTTCTGGATGGATGGTCTATTTATTTTAATTAATTTTTTTCAACCGATAAATCACAGCAGATTCATATTTGAGATTTTACGGTTGGCCGTGGAGGCTCCAATTTGTCTATGTGGCAATTACTAATTAAATGACTTGTGCCTTTTATGGAAGGAACCTGTGTTAAAATGAAAATACCCTTTTTTTTAAATATTTCAGTTGATATTATGGGCGTTTAACCTGTCTTCTCAAATGATTCCACAGTATATATTAACAAGAATAAAATGGCACCCCGGCTCATTTTATCCTCCTTTTTAGCTGCAAGTGTTTACCGCCAAATAAACGCCAATAAGAACACCAGTCGACGACCATGCTGGCAGCCCTTTGAGCCCGTTGCCTACGGAGGGACAGTGCTGCTTTGAGCTATATGTTAATGTTAGCACGCTAACAATGACAAGCTGTTAATGCTTTCCAAATTTATCCATCTTGGTTTGTCATGTCAGCAAGCTAATACGTTCCTGCGAGTTCAGTAAAGATCCCCGAACGCCATCGTGGCGCTAGAGGAAAGGTCGATGGAGCGTCAAAGACCTTCTAGGCTTCGACATCTGGCGACCATGAATGTCGGTGTCCAAATACGGACCCAACGATCCATTTGGTGTCGAGATATTTCACATACAAGTGAAGAAGTGACATGCTGGTGGCGCCAGAGGAAACGTCAGGGGACCCCCAAAGTCAACAGAGCAACTATCCCGTCCTTGTAGCCTTTCTGCTGCAATTTATTTAAGGGATATTTACTCCCTTTAAAACCCGACGCGGCGCCCTGTTTCCACTGGGTCTCATTTAATGAGTCATTCAAAAAGGGTTTTGTTTACGTCTTTGCCGTCTACCTTTTACCAAACCCTCATCTGCAGGTGACGTGATTCCTCCCGATACGACCCTGGTATTTGAAGTCCATCTGGTGGATCTGTGGAACAAAGCGGACCTGGTTGTCACCAAAACCATGAGCACTCCCAAAGACTGCAAACGCTCTGTGATGCGCACCGACTTTGTGCGCTACCACTTCAACGGCTCGCTGCTCGACGGCACCGTCTTCGATTCCAGGTATTCTGGCTGTTCATGATTTTTTTTTTTTTTTTAAAGTCAAGAAACCAGTCAGTAAAGACGCCCTTGTTTGAAGATGAATGTCATTCTTGTCTTCATGCTCTGAAACGAAGCCCTGTGCGAATGTAAGCTCATTTGTGTGTTTTGTACTGTGTCATCCAGGTATATTGTGTGTTTGACTTTGCCCTACGTAGCTACACCAGGAAGCAGACCCACGACTCCTTGGTGGGTGAGGGCTGGCTGGTTAAGGGCATGGATGAAGGCCTGGTGGGCATGTGTGTGGGAGAGGTCAGAAATATCGTCATCCCGCCCTTCAAAGCCTACGGAGAAAAAGGATCAGGTAAAAAGAACATGGTGGTTTTGGTAAAATGTCCAAAACACGTTGTTTTAGTGGATTTTGTGGTCCTGCGTTGCAACCAAACCCCTCGTCTCCAAACACAGTTGGGTTCTTTCTACCTTTTTAAATATTAAAAAAAAATTTTTTTCATGTACCGCTATGGAGCACAGTTTTTGGGGCCAGATACAGTGTACATGGTAGCAAATAATGGACAATTTAATATAATTCAACACTCCTCCTTCTGCTCACCAGGGACAGATATTCCCCCCCAGGCGACCCTGGTGTTCGATGCCCTGCTGGTGGACATTCATAACTCAAAGGATAATCTCACAATTGAGAACCAAGAGATCCCAGAGTCGTGCACTCGTAAATCCGTGTCTGGGGACTACGTGCGGTACCACTACAACGGCACCTACCTGAACGGAGTCACCTTTGACACCAGGTGAGCTTAAGGTCAAAGATGTGTACTTCTGACCTCGGGGGCATAGGTCTCCTTAACATCTCTAATAAACGCCACTTTATTAGAGATATAAAATGTTATTCAACCATGTGTGTTACTGCCTAATAGCTACCAGAGGAACACCACATACAACACCTACATCGGGATGGGGTACGTGATCGCCGGCATGGACCAGGCCCTCCTGGGGGTCTGCATGGGAGAGAAGCGCCGGGTCATCATCCCTCCTAAGCTGGCGTATGGAGAAGAAGGAGCAGGTAAAGTATTTTTATTAGATGGGAAAGGGAGCGAGAGAGAAAAATCAAGGACTGCTGCTGTATTTGTACTTGGATGCAATAAAGTAACCGTGATAAAGAAAATGTCATGTGATCAAAACGTAAAAATTAAAAGTGAAGGCATTTTTTAGCAGTTAAAACTTCATTAAAAAAAATATTTATTGCTTTGGTATATTGCAGTCTGCCTTTTCTGTCTGAAAGATTAATTGAAGAAATAATTTAGAAATGAAACCATGATCAAGAGTTGAATAAAGCCTTAAAATAAAAAATAGAAGATTACTACGTACATTTCTCAACACTGAGTTCCTGCCAGAGCTTAAATAGTCCCGCCTTGTCCCTCCAGGTGGCGTCATCCCCCCTAATGCCGTGCTGGTGTTCGACATTCACGTCATCGACTTCCACAACCCCAACGACACGGTGAAAATCCAGATCACCCACAAGCCCGAGGAGTGCAAGGAGGTCACCGCGGAGAACGACCTGGTCCGCTACCACTACAACTGCACCCTGGTGGACGGCACCAAGCTCTTCTCCTCGTAAGTCGCCCCGGTTATATCCGGCGTTTGATTCCGCCGATAACTATTTAAAAAAAAAAATCTTTTTCCAAAATTGACGTTGTTCCCAGGCACGACTACGAGAGCCTCCAGGACGCCATGCTGGGGTCGGACAAGGTGATTGACGGGCTGGACGAGGGCCTGCGCGGCATGTGCGTGGGGGAGAAGAGGGTGATAACTGTGCCGCCTCACCTCGGCCACGGAGAAAAAGGGGGTGAGGCTTTTAATGCTCAAAAACATCACTTTACTAAAATATTATGACGTAAACCTGTAGTTAAAACTGCGTTGTTGTTTTTTTTAACTTTCTTTCCGGCAGCCACTGGCGTGCCAGGCAGCGCTGTGTTGGTCTTTGACGTTGAACTGGTGAGCTTTGAGAAGGGAGTACCACCTGGTTACCTGTTCGTGTGGCTGGAGGAGAGCCCCGCGGACCTCTTCACTGCCCTGGACATCAACAACAACGCAGCGGTCCCAGAGGAGGAGGTATGTTACTGCTGACGCCACCACCTAACATCAGTTTCATCCTTTGAAAATGGAGATTCTCATTTTTTCTGTTGATGTATCAACTTACAATATTTCATTTGTATTTGCATAATTATTCTGCACTATATCCAGACATCTAAAAGGTAGCTTAAAATATTTCCCACTCAAATGTAGTATAATACTCAAGTCCTAACTGTGGTGCCATCTCGTGAGAACAATGAAAAGTAGTTTTCCATCGGACCCTAGCTGTCAACTCGTATTGATCACGTTACGTTGTTTTCTTTCTCTTCACACGTTCTAGTTTGGGGAGTTCATCAAGCTGCAGGTGGCGGAGGGCAAAGGTCGCATAAAGCCCGGCATGATCATGGAGAATGTCATTACCGACATGTTCCACAACCAGGACCGGAACAAAGATGGAGTGATCACGGCCGACGAACTCAAGCTGAAGGTGGACGAGGACAGGGAAAGGGAAGAGGCGAGGCACGAGGAGTTGTGATGGTAGAAATGAGTTTCGTTCTCTCAGGGATGAACCCCAACACCTTAAAAAAAAACATGCAAGATACTTTCCATCATCACGATTAAATATCATCTGTACACAATGGACAGCCTTTTGTTAATGACAAGAAAATAATGCTAAGGGTCTTCTTTTTTTTGTGGAGTTTTGTCTCGTATGATTGTTTGTATTTCAGTTAACCCAAAAAAAACCTATTTGTGATGAAAGTCAAAATTAAAATGTTTGTAAGAAAAAGAATATTGTTTCCCTTTTTTCCCCCCACCTAAATAATTCATCTGTCATTTGCAAAACGTTTCTACGCTGCCCTGCTTGTGTCCAAGAGGTGGAGTCACAACAAGACGAGAAATGCACCAATTCTGTTTACAGATCTTGGGGAATAGAAATAACAATGCTGAATAAGTGGAATACTTTCTTAAGCCAAGCAAACTCCCCTGTTTGTGTGATAACATTCAAAACCCATACAGAAAAGTCATAAAATATAGGCTGTTTAAAATGTTGAATAATACAGGCACAGGAGTTGTGATGAGAATTGTTGCTTTAAAAGACAAGGGACTTTTTCCTTACATTTTGAAAATAGTGCAACGGTATGTTTTTGAGCTTCTGTGTATGAAAAACAAACCAGTACCTTTTGTTTATTAGACAATAATTCAAGAACATTTATCCGAGAGAACTGCAAATGTATTTATAACAATACTAATTATCAGCACCCACAGTGTTCCAGTTGAAAGACACACTCATCCCAGACAGTATATTCCTTTCTAGGAAATACTGTAGGATTGTGATGCGAACACAAGTTACATCGTTAAAACAACTCAATAGCTCTGTCATGTTAGCTGTATCTCGCAAGTAAATCTTTTTGTATGATACAGTGCACATTAAACGAAACACATCTGAAGATAAAACATTAACAAAATGACATTTTTTACACATACGGTGAATCTGTGTACATGTCAAAGTTCTTACTTGTGTCTCAATGAGGTAATGTATCTGAGGACGGCGTTTGCCACGTCCATCGTCTCGTCCTGCACGAGCACGATGTCAAAGGAGTTGATGTACGCCTCCTTCCTCTCTTCCACCTGAGACACAAAAAAAGACCCTAGAAAACCCAAATCCCAAAACTACGGTATAAGGAACGAGAGCAGACCTCGGCCTCACCTTATCGTTGAGGAAGCCGATGGTGAGGATGTTCTGGTGCTCGGACACGCCGTCGGCCATGGTCAGGTCTCCCAAAGAGTCTCCCAGCAGCAGAACGTTGGGGCGACCCTGCAGTTCCCTGAGGCCGGCCGCATGTGACAAAGCTCCTTCCCTCTTGTTGAAGGAGTGGATCAATTGGCCTTTGAAGGCTCTTAGGGCCCCCTTATTAAAAACACAATGTCCACTTTCAGGTTAGCAAACACTTGCATAAACAGAGTGAAATCATGTTGATCTATGTTAGACTAAAGGTACATTAACTTTAACACCTTTCCTGGTCACTAGTAAAGATCAGTAAGAGAGATTAAAAAAAAAAAACACGTTGCAAATATTACACAAGCTTACTTTTATTAACTCGATGTAACTCCTACATGTTGCAGCCGTTTAGCATGCCTTGAAATCAATAGATGATGGATTTAAATGTTTTTTTGTGTAATTGCATTAAACCCCCAACAATACGCAAAAATCGTACTTACACCTGAACAAATGTATGTAGTACGAGTGTAACAAGGTGCCGGCGAACTCACGGTTTGGTCAAAGTCCATGTAGTTGGAGATGATGTGGACATTGGGATAGAAAACGTGGTTCTGTCGAATCACCTCCTCCAGGACGTCGCCAACACCAGCCGAGAAGATCATCAGAGGGACCTGCTGCTCCGTCAGATGGTCGAAAAACAATTTGTAGCCGTCCCTAAAGAAATCAGACACACACAAACAGTTCTTTTTCAACCCAACACAGTTCGTATGTCTTTAATTTATTTGTGTTCTAAACGTCCACCGGCTGTGTTGATGTTTGGTTAGAGCACATTGCTCACCTGAGCACTGCACTGGATTCCTTTACAGCCTTGGCCAGCATGTCCTTCCTGATCCTCTGCTGAATCAGCAGCTCATGCACCTCCGTCCACCTGCAGAGAGCAACTTAAATGTAACATCGCAATCATGTTTTGGAACGGGAGCTTAATAAACTGGAAAAAGGTTTTATGGCTAAATTCAACTAAACTACTCAGCAGTGTGCGATTGGTCTGTCAATTAAGAGCTTTAAATTGTGTGCCCAAAGGCTTGAATTCAAATTTGATTAAAATAAACAGGTGGTACTTGGGTCAGTATGTTTGATTCTTACCACTTCACCATGAGGGGCAGCTTTTCTTCAGCAGTCCTGCCAGCATCAATCTCTATGGGATAGTATGTGTTCAACAGCTCCCTCATCTGACAGAGGACCAACAAACAATATTGAACATTCTTTATATCTGCAGACCAGCTGCGAGGGACGTATATCAGCATGAACTGTGACAAGAACCGCAGACCGGCAAACATTAGTTTATCTTGCACTTCATTATAGCAGTTCATTGGGTTGGAACGAATGTGGATTTGTAAATATCAATGATTTTCACTGCACAAAAACAAACAGCTGCGGTTACTGTGGGAACAATTACATGGTGGTTTATTATTAACCTTCTTGGTGCAATCTTCGTCAATCAACAACCGGTTATCGAGGATATCTGAGAAAAAGAAAAAAAAAGGCACCAAGATAAAAAAGTTATAAAGTAAAGCAAACTGAACGCACTAATACAATAATTTGGATCTAACAATGTAAAGGTTCAGCCTCAACCTCCTAAAAACAATATTTGTACTACATAGTGTCAGATAATGTTTGGGAAGAGTCGGTTGCTAGGTGCTTACTGTGCGTGGTGGGAACCCTCGTTCCATTGTGGGCAAATCTGGTCAGTGTCATATCGAAGTCTGAGATTACCTGAGGAAATATGACCCATCGGATCAGAATGTTAGGACTCCAAAAATACTAATTCATGATACAATCACACATTAACTTATTTTGGTTGAAACTTTGGGGAAGCAAGGTAGTTGTATTTATTCATGAAACTCGTCTACAGGCAAAAGGTAGTTATCAATCTTAGTGTAAGGTCTAAAAGCACAGCTATTGTGCAGAGGAAAAAGTATTTTCAGTCATTTTCTGGATTCTTTACCACAGGAACAACGTCTTTGCGCTTAACTTAGAAGTGGTTTGAAAAGAGCTAAACATGAATATTAGTTCTGACTGTGGTTCACCCCAATTATTTGTAACTATTAACTATTGTTTCTAAGTAATTCCCTGTATTTGGCGTCTGATGAGGCGCTGAACCCTCACCTGCAGGCTGCCTGCACCTGCTCGCTGCATGGCGCAGATTGTCTCCTCCACCCTGCTGCGCTCCTTCATCAGCACTGAGCACTTGGCCAGCTCTGGGATCTGAACAGAGACGAGTTTAGTCAGAAATATGCACATTTATCCAGACATAGTGAGCAGAAAAGGAGGACAGTGGATGCGTCAGAATCGTGCCAATAGGTACAATTTCTGAAAGCTCCCTCACCTCGCTCTTGGTCAGCTGGTGCCAGATCGCCAGGACAGTCCGCACGGGCGCGTAGATCCAGGGGATGTGGTAGATCTGCAGAAAGAAACACTTTTTTGTAACCATTTACTTTACGGTTATGTCATTTTCTAAGATTTTCCCGAGATGCAACTGGTGATTTGGTACTCATTTAGGGACAGTGGGTGTCCACTGAATTAATTCTCATTGGGACCCAGAAGGGTATTATAGTCAGTTTAACTTAAATTTGTTTGGATCTTATATCAATCGTATAATTCAACGTCAATGAGACTAATAATTCAAATGGTAATGAGTAATTAATAGCGATTCATTTATAGTCCATAACCATTGCCTGATGTTAACGTGCAGCAGTTTTTGATATTACACCCATCGCGTTTTATTAATTGTATCCTGACGTCAGTACATTATATTCAATTGAAAACAAATTGTACTTCATTATTTCAACAAGGAAACTGAAAACTCGAAAGGGTTCGCTTGAATTTCGATTAGCTAACAAAGAACAGCTGGCCGTTAAAACCAATGAACTTAACTTACCATTTTCTAACCAAAGCGTCTGAAAAGAGTGTAAACGTCGTCTCGGAACAACTGTTAAAAGTACATAATGTCAAGCAAATAAAGGTTAACAGTTTAGTCGGCTTTTGTTTACGGTTTCTGGTTTGTCGCACCGAAATCTTTCCCCCGGAACTACGTAATAGGAATAAGGTTCCTACGCACTTTAGTTCCACTCGGTAGCGTGGTTCGCCCCAGCAAACAAAGTAGTTACTTGAAGAACCACGAGCCAACACATCAAACTCTGAAGCAAAATGTTTAATGCATTTTGTGGTGCATTGAGACAAAGTTAACCATATCAGAGGCACATTGGGAGAAAAACAAACAAAAAAGTCCACTTAAACCAACAACCAAAATAACCACAGCCATCGTCTAAGCACCGGAGCCAATAATCCTCAAACATAATTATTTAAATCAAAAAATAATATGGCGCTCACGATGCCTGAAGGGACATCTCATCATGACCATGCTGGTCTATTTTTTAAGAGAAAAACAGATAAAAGAAATACATCTTTTAAACCAGATAATTAAATCATACATATTTACAAAACATCCATTGGAATGACAAAGAAGTGGGAATTCAATAGTCATTGAACACTGTTCCTCAATATGTGCTTTGCTCAACGCTACAAAACTTTTGATATGGTCGTCTGTTTAAAGTCGGGCGCACAAAATATTCAGACGATCGACATTAAGACACAGTGCAAACAAGCATGATGGAAACTGGAGGTAGAAAACAAAAAAGGTGCAAGTAGCGAGGAGTAAAAAGTCAAAGTTCAGCTGGATGTTATTCACCATCTTCAATCTCCCCTTATTGAATGATTTTCTTCTGGAAAATATCACAATAAACCAACATGATCTACTTGATTTTAAATCCCGCCCTAGGTGAGGCCGTGCAGGTATTTCATCTAAACATACGCAAAAAAAAAAAAAAAAAAAGGACCTAAATGTTTTATGGAAGCAACAACAATTTTACCAGCAAATTAAGTACCAACTAAAGGAATCCCTCAACATTCGATTTGAGACTGCAGCTGTCTGCGCAGACTGAGCGTGCGGCGATGGAGCTGCTGCATCTGCTGCATGCGGTCTCGCTGGCGAGCCAGGTTCTGCGGCATCGGGAAGCGTTGGCAACCGCGAAGGCAGCGGTACGGGATGCGAACGTGACAGGCGGCGGCCCGGCACCGTGGCTGAGGCAAGGGGGGCAGCAGCGTCCAGCGCTTCCTCTCGGCGCAGTACCTGTAGGCCTCCTTGCGGTACTGCTTGTCCATGTTGTTGCAGTTCCTCCATCCGCCGATGACGAATATGTCGTCGCCCAGGTAGCAAACGGCGGCCCCTTCCATGCCGAGGACCTCCGGGGGGAGGCTCCCCAGGATGTCGTCGCCGACGTTCCTGCTCGTTTTCTGCTTGGCGGCCTCAGCCGTTACCTTGTAGCTCTTCGCGCAGCAAGACGCCGTGTGGTAGAAGCTGGTGGACGCCACGGCCATTTGAAAGACGCAGTAATTGTCGATCAGCGGCAGGGAGTCCGCCTCCTGCCACGTGCGGCTCTCCGTGTCGTAGCGGGTGGTCAGGGTGCTCAGTCCGTGCTCGCTGTCCCTGTCCACGGGAGTCCTGGCCATCACGTATATGTAGCGGTCCTCCACGCTCACGGTCTTCACGTCGCGCAGTATCTTCGGTGCTGGCTCCAAATTGTGCCACTCGTCCAGCTCGGGCTTGAAGACGGTGACATCCTTAAAGCCCGCGCTGAAGTTGCCGTGGCCCCCGATGCAGTACAGCAAGTCTTTGACACAAGTGAGGCCGAAGGAGTGCTTGCGAGTGTCCAAGCTGTTGACCTCCTCCCAGGCGTTGAGGCCGGGGTCGAAACGCTCCACCGTCTTGGCGAAGCTCGGCTCCATGGAGCCGGCCACGTAGACGTGGCTGTCGGTGACGGCGATGGCGTGTCCGTCGAGGTGGTTGTGAAGGTGCGGCAGGTTCACCCAACGGTCCTCGGCGACAAAGTAGCCCACGCACTCGCTCAAATAGTCGCCGCCTTCTGACACGCCACCCACCACCATGATCACGTCCATGTTCTGGCCGAGGCGGGGCTGCGTGGCGGCGTCGTGGGAAGCGCGGCGCTCCAAATCAGCGGGTTGGTCCAGGTGCTCAAAGTGGACGGCGTGGACCTCGAGGGCGTCGCGCACCAGCTGTCGACACGCTGCACTGTTCGCCACCAAGGGCTCCTTTCTCACCACCCGCGTCAGGAAGGAGGGAGAGATCTGAGTGAGCCTCAAAAGGCCGAAGAGCTCCTCAAAACGCGGCGCTCTCTCCTCTGCGTTCTGGTGCGCCCATTTAACCACGGCCTCGAACAACTCCTGCTCGGAGTCCACGGCGATTGCCGGGTCAGACAGCCAGTCCCGCACCAGGTGAAACGGGAGCGTGAGGAATTCCTCGTTGCGGATGATTATGGTGAAGTTCGTCCGGATGGTCTTGGCGGCTCCCTGGGCCAGCAGGTCCAAGGTGTACATGTGGGCGAGGCTGTGCACTGCTACGCAGTTGGATAAGCTCAACTTCTCCATCAGAAACTCTCCGCAGAAGTTCTTCAGCTGCGACAACAGGAACCTGAGTGAACATGACGTGGTTATCGTGCATGCTGATGTACATATATCACTTACTTTATTTGGCACAACCGGTGCCTTGGGAGGCCTGTGCCTATTTGTATTGCTCAAAACGTACATCAAAGAATACAATATTAGAGTTATTCTGTTCAGAATCACTGCAGTCTGTGGTTCTCTGATGTGAATAGGACGCTGTGCACAGAGCGATCAATTGTTCCACACCATCACGGCCTTCAACGCAGGGCCGTAAAGTGATGAGTAATGTCGTACAGGGTTCCTGCACTGTGCACAAATTCAGGTGAAACATACGCGGTCCGTATTTTAATCTAATTACTGGTCAAATTATGAAACAATTAAGGAAAATGATGGTTCTTAGTACTTTAAGACTCTTTTTAACGGAAAGTAGCTGCCAAAATGATGACATTTCTTCCAGATGTGCTGAGTCATGGTATTGTCTTTGTCTATTGTCTTGTAGTATCAATACAACTTAACAATGTTAAAGAAACGTCTACCACGGTTTTATTTTAACGATACTAATCCAACAGAGGAGAAACACGGGAACAGTCAAATCAAAAAGACCCATGCGAGTCCTGAAAATGGTTCTAATTATGCAAACGTGAAAACAGCCGAAAAATCAAATCCTGGACGTGTAAAGATCCTCAAAAAAAAATAAACATAAAGCATGTACATAAATTCAATACAGCGATTTTGTGATCTAGTCCGAAAGCAGAATGACTAATGAGTGCCGGTGGCAGGTGAGGAAATCACACCTGCGGGTGCAATGAAGCCGACGTGTGGCTCATTATATGTACGTTCTTGTATCGTAAAAGGTTAAAGTGGTTACCTGTCCGCAAGTTCCAACACTTCGTGCACACTGGCGGTGGTCACCCGTATTCGTCCCGTGTACATGAACTGAATAACACCCTCCACGGTGTCCGCTTCGGGTCCCGTCGCGGAGCTCCATTCTCTCAGCTCCACTCGCCCGGACACGGACTCCGTAAACTGTCCGCCCAGCAGCAGCCTGAAGTACTCGGACGCCGCGGATAACACGGAGCGGTGGGCGGACACGGTTTGGACCGTCCCCCCACCTCCTCCTCCTCCACCACCACCACCGGAACTGAAGACCAGTGTGACGTCGCAGAAGAGCCCCGACTTCCTCTGCTCGTTCTGCCTGCGGGAGAGCTCCGAGCAGTGGGTCGAGCAGGTGAACACCTCGGCCTCCTCCGGTTCCCCGTCACCTGTCGGACCGCTGCTCCGGTCCTCCGGCGGGTCTCCTGCCGCCGCCGCCGACATGACGCAGCGGGACCGAGTCCGACGCGAACGAACTACCGTTGGGGATAACGCGTAGGCATGTGTGACCGAGGCAAATACACGTTAATAAACAGCGTGCATGCGCAGCGGCGTTCGGTCGGATCTGAAAAGCGGAGCGCGCACTTCCGTCTTTTAGAAATTTCAATTTTTTTTTTTTTTGCTGGCGAGTCAATGGGAGGCTGAGATTTAAGCTAAAACCTTTCTGCACACAAGCGATTATATCCCGGATGCATATATATATATATATATATATATATATATATATATATATATATATATACACACAGTCTGAAATGTAATATCTTTTCTATGTTACTTCAGCCATTGAAACGCCTTGATTTTTAGCGAAATCAAACTTTTGTTTAAAGGGGAAGCGCTGGATTCGCGCATGCGCGCTGTGAATTTGCTGGTGATGAACACGTTGCATCCTATGAGACTGAAACGTCAGTTTAACAAAGATACCAGAAAAACATCCTACATTGTCCATTAATCATCAGTACGTCATTAAATGCTGTAGACTAATTTTGGTACACGAGTTATCTGCTTAATATTTGAAATTGTTATTCAGGTCACAACATCAGTATAAAAGTTGCAAACTTAAAAAATTACCCTTTATAAGACAAATTTAACAACTCCCAAAACAATTTAAGTAAACAAGTCTTTAATTATACTACCATTTGCAGCATATTACAAAAAAAAGCTTTTTTTCACAGTTAAACAGCAAAAGACAAAGATCACACACACAGCAGGCCGCAGTGGGCAGTAAAGCGTTTGTGCCTCAGACTTCAGTGAAAGTTTGACAATTCTATTACAGAGCAATATTAGGATTATTTGCAATCAGTGAGGCAAACCGTTTTCATGGTCCCCCACCAAAAGATGCGTTCAAAGACAAAGTGCTTAGTCATTAAACATGTTTTTCCCTTTTGATGAATGAAAATTGAAACAAATGTTCAAATCATACTTTGTGAGAAAGACATGAACGCCTCAAAATTGTATCTAATGTACAATAGCAGACTAATTTAAACCACTGGTCTGGGAAACGTAATATCGGAGTGACCCTTAAGTCATATTTCTTTGTCTGAGTTTTAACATACGCTTTGTCATCTTGTTTAAAACAGATTAGTTCAAATTAAACTCCTGAACATAACTTTGGTTTATCTTGTGATGACAAAGATCTTTGTCATTAGCAGGTGACAAGGAACCCAAAACTGAAATTTTCTTGTATTCATACTAATGTGCAATACTCAAAGCCAGGGAGCGTAATAAAGCACACTTTCATGTGGCCTAAAACAGGAAAATGCAGATAACATTTTTATGAGTAGTATAAAAAAAAAGAAGAAAAAACCCGAAACGTATTGATTTTATGCAGTTCACATGATCAGACTCAGAATGCAGGATTCCTGCCCATTTTATTTTAAAGTACCAATTTACCTTGCGCCTTCAGGGTCTGTGGTCAAAGCGGAATAAGTTACAACTTTGAGTTTAAATTATTTCTTTCAAAAACTAAAATCTACAAATATACTACTCCCCCTTTTCTCAGTAAAAACAACTTCCTTTTTCCAGAATTACCCTGCAATGCTTTCCCCAGGCCACTGTTATACCCTGACACTACGTATCAAGTGAGACTCATTCGGGCAGTCACACCTGGAAACGTATTCACTCTGTGGCGAGTTACATGGACATATGCTCAGGAAGCACGTAGGAGATGTCATCCCAGGGGTGGCGGTACAAACCCTGTTTCAGCCTCTTCTGGTCCAGGTAATGTCCTAATGGAAGACAGACACTTGTTAGAGGTCTTATTTTGAAAACGCTTGGGTGTCGCCGCTCCTTCTGATGAGACTCACCAATGAAGCCCATGCTACGTCCGAGCACAAAGATCCCATTTAGTGCACCGATCTCCACAAACTCGTCCGCCTCGTCCCTGGAACCAGTTCAACATTCACGTAAGAAACAACGCAGTGTGCTTGCAATCGACAAAGAAAACAGGCAATGGACTTCTGGCAAGTTTGAAAAAGAGGTTTATAACATTTCTGAAACTCCTCCTGTGGAAGCTGGTATTCTTCACAAAACAATACATGACAATATAGTAAAACAGAGCTGTAACAATAGAAAACATGTTACCGTGTGAAGCCACCGCACATCCTCAGCAGATCAACAAAGGCCACGCCAATAAAACCGTCTACGTTCAGGATCAGGTTGGGTTTCTGAAAAAAAAAAAAAAAAAAAGTCAATTTATCGAAATGTCAGAAATTCCTGCAAATCAACTGATTTACAGGTATTAACATAAAAGGAGCAAAGGTTAAAAAAACTCCAAAGATGCCATCAAGTACATTTAACCTCATTAGGGTATAACTTTTCAAGGTAGAAAGAATGATTGTTTAACTTTGCCAATTCAGGTGAACAGTACCTTGGAGGTGGTGATCTTCTCTACGTCTAGGGCATAGTCCAGCAGCTGGGTGGAGGGGAAATGCTGCTTAACAAAGTCCTTCAGAATCTGCACCCGCATGTCTGGGTTATTGATCTGAGAAAAAGAAAATTAAGAAATACGTTTCTTTCCATTTTAATTTATTGAAGAATTCATTAGGGATATTAAACTATCATAAATCTAAAATAGTCATATCATGCATGGATATAAATAAAGCGAAGCACTGCATACCGATTTGACTCTGTGTCCAATGCCCATGATCAGCTTGCCATCCTTCTTCATCTTGTTGACGAACTCCATGGGCAGCATGCCACTGTCGAAAGCCTTGCTGAACTGCTTTGCGGCGGCATCCAGAGCGCCTCCAAAACGGTCCCCCTGGAATTCATGTGCAGAAACCACAGTTTTAGACACGTTGTCAAAAGTGGGCAGTAAAAGACAACGGTGTGCTTTCTGTTCGGTCTGTTTAAAGATGGCGGCATGGTGTGTGTGCGTGTGAGCAGTACTGACGATGGTGAGCAGGCCAGAGGTGAGGCTTGAGATAAGGTCCTTGCCAGCGCGAGCGCAGACGATGGTGTTGTGAGCACCGGAGACGGCCGGCCCGTGATCAGCGGTCACCATCAGGCACATCTCAATGAACTGGCAGGCATACCGCGGCAACCTTGAATATATAAAAAAATATATATTTCGAACTAAGGTTACTCAGCACACTGTTATTTCTTGCCGTCGTCCAGGCTTCAGACCGACCTGCGTTGGAACCAAAGCAAGCCCAGCACGCCTCCCAGACCCATCTCCTCTTTGAAGACCTCCGTGATGGGCATGCCCGCGTAGATGAGCTCCTGGCCTCGCTCGTCACAGATGCTCGTCATGAATGAGGCCGGCTTCCGGATCAGACCCAACTCCTGGAGGAAAATCCAGTGGAGAGTAAAACAGAAGGTGAAGGTACGTTCTGACACACACACACACACAGGGGTTAAACACGCAGATAACGTCCCTACGGTATGAAGCCGAGATCAAGTTTAATTATAAAATAAATTCCCACAATAATCCCTGACCCTTAAATTGTTGCTTTACAAGATTGTATGACCATGAATAATTCCAATGCTGTTGAAGTTTACTAAAGGAATAAAGAAGTTTACCCTGGCCCAAGAGTAATCCATAGGCACTGTTGGGGGAGGCACCTCCTGGGCAGGAACGATGGTACCATTAGCCACCAGGTCATCATAAACGGTCCTGTTTCACCACAAATTGAAAACATTGGTAAAAATAAAAAAGAAAGTAATAAAAAAAAAAAAAAATCACGACAAAATGTGGTATGACTGTGTGATGCATTTCTCACTTGATGACATCCCCCAGCTCATCAAAGCTTTTTGGTACATAAGCGCCAGCGTCCCTCAGGGCCTGGTTCTTGGCTACTGCGGTTTCTGAGGCCTGGTTGGCACAAGCCCCTGCATGGCCAAACTGAACCTGAAGACAGCAGCGACCGCTCAAGCTTAAAAACTCCCAATCAAATGGTGAATTACACCAAAGCAAGAAAGCCACCAAACCTCTGAGGCGAACATGGTAGCGCAGGTTCCAATACACCAGCACACCACAGGCTTGGTTATCCTGCCCTCTCGGATGCCTTGGCAGATCTTGTACTCCTCTGTGCCTCCGATCTGGGTAGCCGAGTAAAAGAGATGGGTCGAAATATTAAGTTTATGAAATAAATGTTAAGTAAATTAAATAACAAACAACATTACATTGATGTTTATCTGAAAATGTAAACATTCATGGAGCTACTCCCACCTCTCCCAGCACTATTATCATCTTAACCCCTGGAGTGTCCTGGTAACGTAGGACGTGGTCCATGAAGGTGGAGCCCGGATATCTGGATGAAGAGAAGAAATCAGAACTTATAAAAAAAAAAAAAAAAAAAGGTTGTTTCTCCGACGATATGTTCCCGTGGAACGCATCGTCTTAAAATCTAACACACTCATTTTTGACCGATAGGCTTCAACTTTCTTTCACTGCTCAGCAAATATCTGGTAATAAGTGTCTTGTACCGGTCTCCTCCGATGGCAACACCTTCATAGACGCCGTCTGTTGTGCGGGAGATGATGTTGTTCAGCTCGTTGGACATGCCGCCGGAACGCGACACGTACGCCACGCTGCCGGGGCGATACAGTTTGGAAGCCAGGATGTTGTCCAGCATGCCGCCCGTGTTGCCGATCTTAAAACAGCCGGGCTTGATGCCGCCAACCTAGGAGGCGGAAAATAACGGGTATCAAATGAAGTTACGTGAGCCAGTTGAAATTGATGATTTATATTTATCTATACTATCATTTTTGTTATCATCTCCGATGGTGAGACATGGCTTCTTACTGTAGCGGGGCCGATGATGGTGACACCTTTCTCATCAGCCATCTTGATTATCTTCCTCGTCTGTGCTTCAGGAATGCCCTCAGCTATGATGGCGATGGTGTGGATCTAAAAACAGAATTAGGTGACAGACAGCTTCTGAATCTCACAAGTTTATGCGGTGATATGTGGGCTTGTACGCAACCCTATTTCATAATATAGCTTTCTACCTGTGGGTATTGCATGGACTCCATAGTGCTGTCGAAGGCAGAGCGCAGTGAAGCAAAGCTAATCAAGACGTCCACCTCAGGGTGCTTCTTCACGGCATCGGCCATGTTCTTATAGACCGGCACCAGGATCTCTTTGTGGCCCCAGTAAAACTTCTGCTTGTGGTCCCCACTGGGCAAGACAAATGTGGGGGATAATAAATAAACAAACAAACAAAACAAAAAACAACAACATG